TGACATCGTCACGTGAACAGAGAACGAAGCTCAACAGCTCGTATTGGTGGATAAAGTCCCAGGAAGACTGGTACAGGATGGGTTCCACGCTCAAGTTGGAAAAATGCAAATTCATAACAAGGGCAGTAAAATACCTGGGACGTCGCATTGAAACAGAAGGAATTCATCCTCTAGATGACAAGATCACGGCTATCACAAAAAACTCCAAGACCGAAGAACCTGACGGAGAGCATTCATCGGCATGGTGACCTGCCATGGAAAGTTCATCACAAATATGTCACTGCTACTGGCTTGGTTGTACAGTTTGCTAAAGGGAAATGTTGCATGGAAATGGAAGAAGGAACAAGAAGATGCCTTCACGCAGTGTAAAGCAGAGCTATCAAGTAACAGTGTCTTGGTCCACTATGACACTAATCGTCCGCTCACTTTGACGTGTAACGCCTCAACAAATGGAATATGGTGTGTCATATGACACGTTATGGAGGACGGAAGTGAACGACCAGTTGCGTATGCATCCTGGACAATGACAGTCTCAAAGGCTAACTACACACGGGTAGAGAAAGAAGCTTTGGCCATCATCTTTAGGGTAGAGAAGTTCCACAAGTACCTATATGGCAGAAGCTATATCCTGATTACAGATCATAAGCCACTCACTACAATCTTTGGGCCAAAGACTGGAGTTCCAATGCTAATGGGCACTTGTCCTCAGGGCACACAAGTATGAGATCAGATACTGTGAGTCGTCTGAGTGCAGTAACACCAACTGCTTGTCAAGATTGCATTGAACAGAGTAATCAGGTTAACTACCTAGACAATCTACCCACCTTAGCAGAGCAGATTGCCGAAGCAACCAGGAGAGATGTTCTTTAGAGTAAATTCGATGGCCAAATCATGTAGATGCGACCCTGGGAGAGGATCCATATCGACTATGGGGAGTTCAGATCCCAAGAGTTCTTGGTGGTGATAGACAGCGGGACCAAATGGCATGAAGTGGTATTTATGTCATCAACGACAGCAGGTAGAACCATAGAAGATTTCAGGGGGGCTGTTTTCAGCCATTGGTTTGCCTGCTGAAGTGTTATCTAACAATGGACCTAAATTCACATGCGAAGAATTTTATAGAGTCAAGAAAATTCTATACCTATTTGGTATTTACATCACGACCCAGATGTGGCAGATCAGCAGCTGAGGGAGTTTGTGAGACTACCAGACTATCAGTTTGTGAGACTACCAGACTGAGCCCAGGTCCGGTGACGACACCAAATCCAACGATCAACTCAGAGAGCACTCAGCCCCGCAGTGACGGTGTGGCAAGGCGATATCCTGCCCGCTTGAGAAAGCCAGTTGAGAGGCTTGATCTGTGAAACGGACTTTAAATCGTTGTCATAAAGACTTCAAGCCCAAGTTAGGATTTAGTTCAAAGTTGAAAGTTTCACCCTGACTATGTGATGGACTCTAAACTTCCAGTGATATGAGTTAACGTCTTTAAATCGTTGTGATAAAGACTTAGTGTTAAAGCCCAAGTTAGGATTTAGTTAAAAGTTTAAAGTTTCACCCTGACTATGTGATGGACTCTAAACTTTCAGGGATATGAGTTAACGTCTTTAAATCGTTGTGATAAAGACTTAGTGTTAAAGCCCAAATTCGGATTTAGTTAAAAGTTGAAAGTTTCACCCTTACTATGTGAAGGACTCTAAACTTTCAGAGATATGAGTTAACGTTAATACTTGTGTTAGATAAATGTTTAAAGTTAGTATATTTTCACGGAGTCATGTTAAGAGACTTAAGTGTTAAAATACAAACAAAAAGTATGGGAACACCCTAGAATTTGATGGTCATATATTAACGTGTTGAGGTCATTTATACTCTTAAGTTAAATTTTTGTGAACATGAAGTGAAGCAACTAATTCAATATTCGTTGAGATTGAGTGAAATGAAACATTGTTAAAAACAGTGAAAAACAATGGTGCTGAAACACAACGCTGAATCAAACAGCACCATGTTTGATTCAAACACCCAAACACAACAAGCTAGTGCGTGTGGAAGACAGACTTTCCATGGACCTTGTGGCAACGTTTTCATGTTCCCATATGCTGCTCATTTCATCAAGAGTTCATCAAGAGAAAGGGAGTCATATAATCATCTGATTTATCAGGGGAACAAATGCTTCTTCTCCTGCTTAGTTTTATACGTTTAAAAATTGTTCCCACCAATATATTTTTGAGATCTCCTTTTTTTTTCAGAATATTATCATGAACTTATAGATGACACACATTGTATCGTGATCCATCACCTTTGATTTTCTGAACCAGGATTCGGATCTGGGACAGAACTGATTGTCGAGTGATGTTGCGGACAGTTCTATGTGACGAGGTTCCTATTTGATCAATATCTGCCTGAGTGATGAGTGAGTGAGTGAGTAAGTTTAGTTTTACGCCGCACTCAGCAATATTGCAGCTATATGGCGGCGGTCTGTAAATAATCGAGTCTGGACCAGACACTCCAGTGATCAACAGCATGAGCATCGATCTGAGCAATTGGGAACCGATGACATGTGTCAACCAAGTCAGCGAGCCTGACCACCCGATCCAGTTATAGTCGCCTCTTACGACAAGCATAGTTGCCTTTTGTGGCAAGCATGGGTTGCCGAAGATCAATTCTACCCCGGATCTTCACGGGTCAATATCTGCCTGAAGGCATCCAGAGTCCTCTCTGTGGATAAAATCTTGTCCGAACATTATAACGCGTCTGCAAGGATGTGGATGTTTCCTGGTATGTGTCTTACTTCAATTGTGGAATCCAGACTGTAACGTAAATCGTATATTTCCGTCGTGTGGTCCATAAGGTCTGGAGAGTATCTACAAGTCTGTTGACATAGGCAACTACCATGGTGTTGTCCACGGCTACTAGAAGTGAAGAGTTTCTGAGTATTAGTGCCCAGTACACGATGACTAATAAGACCGTTATCAGCATGAAAATGTTGATATGGACTGGTGAAGGACAATCTGGTGAGGGTGACATTGTCGGGTTTCAGACACCAGGCGAAACCCGTCGGGAGTTATGACAGAGTCTACCTGTTTCCTTCAATGTTGATCAATCCAATTCTGGATGAATCTTGTAGATGATGTAGACGATTTCTAAATGTTAGATCGTGCATAGATGTGAGCATGGCCAATAGCCAGTACACACTACATCCATTGCCTTAGAGTGTTTAGAATTTTTTCATTTTGATATCCTGGTTGTGATATCCTGATAGCATTCAAATGGGATACCTTGCTAAGTGTCGAAAATGGCCCATATGTATTTCTGTACCTTCTTGGGCTGAAGCTCAATTTTTATTATGCACTAGGAACTCCAAATTTCCAAACAACTCCGTCAGATAATAACATGAATCGTCTACAAATCCATGAATCCTGATGCGTTGCAGATGGAGATACGCCAGAACCGTAGTAACATGCTGCTACATAAGTGAAACCTGTAAATCTCCTATGATCTGCAAGGCATGTACTTGTTGAACCGAAGGATCTGTTAGAGTGCCCTATGCAGTCCATGCTGTAGGGGTGGTTCCTGCAGCTGGTAGGGCCTGCCTTTAAATCCAGACCTTGGACTTCGTCTATTGTCAGCTATCAACCGACGCGAAGTCTGTCTGGCAGCATCTAAGTTGACAATTCAGAATCGCTGGCTGAATACCTCGGTGCATGCGTTAAAATTCAGGGAGCCTGGGTACTCCTCCACAGAGGTGATAGTCATGGACAGTGATGGCCCAAACGAACTAGTTTACTCTCAAATGGTGTCATATTCTCCGAAGGGCTCAGGGCTGCTGATAGAACTTGTTCTGTAAAATATTTCACATCAGGGATGGTGGGTCGAGGTATAGTCTGATCAGCATGGATAGGGATGACGTCATGCTCATCAGAGTCCATCAGAATGTCAAACAAGCTTTCAAAATCCTCGGTGATCATGGCAGGAGTGAGGGGATGTTTCTTTGCCAACTTCTTCTCCTGCCTTTTTTTCACTGTCAAAGGCATTTATCTCAAACGCCACTGGTGACAGAGATTGACACTTACCGCAACTGGAGACAAAGGAACATGGCGTTTGGACACACTCCCACCATTGCCTATGAGTATTGCGAGGGGACATAAGTTGACCACAAATTTAGAAAATTTAGCTCCCAAGGGAACAGTTGAAATATATTTGCTATCTTCACATATACCCATATTTCAATAAATTCAAACTTTTATGAACCATGACAAAAGTTAAGAAAGAACAAGTTAACACATGTGATCATGTGTGCTACAGGTATAATTATCAGGTTACGGCGAGCACGTCAGCGGGTAACACTTGATGAATGTTTAAAGATTTAATTCATGTTTAACCTGTGGATCAGATGTTTCAGGAAATATGGCAGTCAGGTGTTAAACGTATTTGTAGGAATTATGAACCTACACTTTTAACATACGGGATGACGTGGGGATTGCTTGTCCATGATGAAAAAAACGCTTCTCAAGCAGAAACAATGACTTACAAGCTGACAAAAAGACAAAGGTTACACCATGTAAAAAACTGGAAAATACCATTGTTCATGGTGTGTGAGTAACCAGCATGAAAAGCATGCATGACCCAGATTCCAGGCATGTTACTCGTTGTTTGGGTGAATACATTTTAGAAGCTGGAAACCTAGATCGAATGAAGGAAGAGATATGCGAGATCGGATAAGTTTTGAAATTAAAAAAAGGTTTTACAGACAGTATGTGGCAACAGTCAACATGTCTTTTACCCTGCTAGCACATATCAAGCAATGTTAATGTCATTCTTTTTGTTGTTGTTTTTTCTTCTTTTTACTCATATATTATGACCTTTGCTCAAGTCAAATTCAGGCTCTACTGTCCATTACCGATTCTGTGGTGATTATGAAAGAAATAGCCTCCAAACGTGTCTGTTTACCGAGGGTTTCTATTCTAAATAGAAATATATAGTGAATGATTCCTTTTTGTCTACAGACTTGACAGCAGATTACATCGAACATGGAAAAGAGCTCTTCATTGAGAGAAATGGTTTCACCCAATGCAAAGACAGACTGAAAACGCACAAGAGCGTGGTGATTGTCTCCCCTCCAGGTGAAGGTAAAACAACACTAGGACTAGCCCTCCTGAGGTACTTCAGAGAACAAGAACATGGAGCCAAGTACCAGCCCATCATTCTACAAACACCAGAAGAATGGCAAAAGCAAATCGACAAAACCAGTCACCAGATAATTCTCATCGATGACATGTTTGGTATGTATGTTCTTTCCCAGTCAAAACTCTGCCATTGGAGAGACAAGATGCCAGACATGATCCATTCCTTAGTTGGTGGGTCGAAGCTGCTAGTTATGACCTTGAGAAACAACATTTTTCGTGATCTTTCAGCAACATGTACACTGAAACTATTTCAACCTGACAACGTTATTGACCTCTGGTTCACGAGACCACTGTTGTACCAAGATAAAGATTTGCTTGCCAAAATCTACTCTCAACATCATGGTGCTAATGTGTCTGGGGACTACATAAAGGCAGTAGCAACTGCTGAAAGTGTTCAGGGCTTTCCTCTGCTATGCAAGACTCTGATGCAGTCAGTCGCAAAAGGAACTTCAAGAGACGACATGGATTGTGTCCACATTCAGATACTATCAACAGAAATTCAGAATCTGAAAGACTATGATGTAAGCATATTTGCTCTCCTTGTTATTGTTGCACTTAATGGTGGTTCTGTTAACAAAGAAAACACTCCACCATGTTCGAGGGACGTTTTACAGTGCCTCAAGTGTTCACACTATGAATTTAAGAGTCTCCTCTGTCGTTGCAAGGCATACTTCGACATTTACCTAAAAGAAAATGGGGGAAACAATAGCATTTTCACACCCAAATGTGCAGCAGGCAGTTGCAAGGGTGTTCTCGTTATCACATCCTATGATAATGATACAAAATGGTAGTATCAAACAGTTATCAGATATATTCACCGTGACAACAAAGGACATATCCAAAATATCTCCAGTCTGGAAAATAAGCCTCGTCAGTGTTGACGAATGGAAGGAATTGGGCAGAAGATTCGTTGTTCTCATACAGAATGGAGAGGTTGCTGACGTTTGTGGACACGAATCGTTCAACAACAAGGCCTTCATTGAAACATTCTTTAAACTTCAATCACAAAGGAAAATGTCCAAGTTACTACTGACTCAAGACAGTCAACATGGTTTGCCAATGTTATACTGGAGTGTTTTCACAAACAACTCTTTTCTCACTGAGACTATCATTGACGAGATGAAAATATCTACTAAAACAAGACTGGAAAAGATCATGTCAATGTTTGGAAAAAAGATAAATAGGGCCAGGGAGATCGAGATGTTTGAATCAACTGCGATAGCCTCACTATTGGTAGGAAACATCGATTCTCTGAAAGAGGTTCTCAACGCATTGCCTGAAAGCAGTAAGCAAAACCTAATGAAGATGAACGTAAAGAGGAATATATTTCCTACCAGAAACAGGCAGCAAACAATGCAAAATATCCGTGAATATCAGACATTGTCAGACCTTGCAGTAGATAAAGGCTGTATTGGAGCTCTGAAAGTGTTGAGTAAACACGTTGAAAATGTTGAAGATCTGCAAATTGGACAAAATGTCAAAAAAGGCAATTTTAGAGGGAAATCAAAAGAAGCTTCGAGAACTTTTGGAAACCATTTCCAAAATGGGACTAGAAGAAATCTTACAATCATTGACTGAAGCAGAAGATGGAAGTGAGCACACATTTCTTTGTGTGGCTGTTCAACAAGGAAGTATTGACATGGTGAGGGAGCTTGTAGAGTTTCAAGATGTACATATGACTGAATGTTGTAGACCATTGCTCCAAACCTGCCTTCAACATGATAACCTCCAGCTTGCCAAGTATCTGCTCGAGAATGAGTATGAAACAAGTGCCACTGATCAAAGTATGTTGATGCCTCAGCTATGTGAACAGAACAACACATCAGCAGTGGAACTACTCCTTGAACATGGATGTGATGTTAATACAAGGAGTACAGCAGGATTTACTTTGTTGCAGATAGCTTGTACAAAAAACTACTGTGAGCTTTTAAGAACCCTTTTACGTTACAACCCCGACGTGGTGAAGGCAGATTCAGACGGAAACACTGTTCTCCATCAGTCTGTGAATCAAAGGCTCAAAGATATTGTTGCAACACTTGTACATTACCTCCAAAGAAACAATCAAAACCTAAACTGCAGAAACAAAGAGGGCAATACAGCACTAATGATTGCCATCAAGGGGAAAGATGTTGAAACTGCAAACATTCTGCTGGAATACAATATGGCTGTAAACACTGTCAACAACAAAGGGGACACACCTCTTCACTATGCCTGCAACATACCTAGTATGGACATAGTAACTTTTCTCCTGAGACGGGACGCACATGTGAATATTTCAAACAAGCAAGGAGTGACACCACTGCATGTAGCTTCTAGCAATGGAGATTTGAAAACTATTCAGCATGTTGATGAGCGTTCAACTTGTCAAAAAACATCAAGATCGCACGATACATTGTGTATCAGAGATGGGATAGTCCACGTACTTCTCAAAAGAGGTGCTGATGTCAATCTGCAGACTGTGACAGGTGACACAGCACTTCATTATGCTTGCAGACACGGCACACATTCTGCCGTGGGTGCTCTTATTAAAGCGGATGCACTGATTGAAGTGAAAAACAAGTTTGGTGAAGTACCACTACATTTAGCCTGTATGACACCGTGGAGCACAGAGATCAGTTTACTCCTTACATGCTCTGTTGTTGATATGAAGACTGCAGCAGGGAATACTCCTCTTCATTTAGCCTGCTCAAGTAACAACACGAACGCAGTTCAAACCCTCCTGAACATGGAAGCAGATGTGAATGCCCAAAACAATGGTCACCATACACCACTATGCATTGCATTTGGGAGAAAAAGCCATGGAGCATTAGAGATCCTGTTAAACAAATACAGACCTACTAACCTGAAGCATGTCATGTGCTCCACTAATGAGAACAGGTGTGCTGCAGCCTGGCTTGCATGTTCTAAGGTTGAACATCCCACTGCATTTTACAGTGACTTTACTCTTATCAAAGAACCAATATTAGAGCACCTGTGTAGAAGAAATAATTTGGAGGATATGGAACGTCTTCTCATGCAAGATGTGTCACTGGAGACAATCAATCAATGTTTATATCTGGCTTGCACACTCAGACATGTAAGCATCATTATGGCCCTGTTGGAACATAATGCCAATCCGGGATGGAAAACTCGTAATGACAACACATCATTACATGCTGCTGTTGCATCAAATTCAGAAGAGACTGTAAGTGCCCTGCTGTCAGCGAAGAATATCAAGGAATGCATCAATGCCAAGAACAAAACTGGAGATACTGCCCTACACATAGCGTGTAGACACACACATACAGGAATTCTGAAACCTCTGTTAAAGTCTGGTGCTGATCCGAACATCAGAAACACCTCTGATGAAGCTCCCTTACATGTGGCTTGCAAACAAAAAGATGCAAAAACTGTTGAAATCCTTTTAGAGAAAGGTTTTGATGCAAACTCCCTAGCAAGGGGTTATTCTCCTCTCCATACCGCATGTAAGTATTCCAATCTGGCCGTGGTTAGGGTTTTGGTTGAATACAAAGCTAACGTTAATGCGGCTGCAAGAATGACAACGCCTCTTCATGTTGCTGAAAAGGAAAGGAAAGAAGATATTGTTCGATATCTCATTCAAAATGGAGCCAACAAGTTAGCCAGAGATGTCGACCAACGAACTCCTCTTGCATATAGATACTATGCCAATGGTCATGCACACATCACTCCTGATGTGGAATTATTGTTGAACAAGGGATCAGATGTGAACCGCGCCTTGTCGGATGGAAACATTGCATTAATACATGAGGTGAGAGAAAATCACCTAGATGTAGTCAAAGAGCTGGTTAGGGAGGGGGGCAATCATTGACAAGCGTGACATAGATGGACGTTCTCCACTCCTACTAGCTTGCTATTTTGGGTTTGCTGAGATTGTCAAGTATCTTGTTCAAAGTAAAGCCACCATCGACAATCCTGACGAGCAAGGTCGGACGCCACTTTACATGGCATGCGATCATGGGCATGCTGGTATCGCCAAGTACCTCATTGAAAAGGGAGCCGATCCCAATTTTGAAAGTACATGTGAAGAAAACAAAACCCCGAGGGACATAATGATGAGTAGGGAAAATGAAGAAATAAAAGAAGTGTACAAAAAGAAAAAGAAAGCTCGGGTTTAAATGTGCCTGTAATCAAATGTATTCTTTGCATTTATCCACTTGTTTACCATTATGTCAAGGGAAGTAGAAACACATTTGGTAAATCCATGTATTGTGAAGATTGACTGAAAGATCCCATCATAATTGAAATGGGAAAATATATCCTTGGTGGGTACAGTACTGAGATCGAGATTGAGCTTTAAAGTGGTTCAGTACAGTCAGTTCCACAAGTCTGAACAGAATGGAATCTGTTTTGGAAGATCATTGAAACTGCGTGTTATCTGGTAATGAAGTTCTGTTTCAATATTTAGCGTGTTACAGGCGTAATGATTTTGAGAATGAAACTTTTGTAACTTCAATATTGTCTACAGAATGAATTGTCGCAAGCCAAATTTGTTTTCAAATATATATTGTACTTTCAATGTCTGAAGATAGCTAGAGAAATTCTTTATTGTAACTTATTAACCTTACCTATGCAAATTGGACTGTCACCGTTTCAAAGTTGTTCTATACTGTTATTTAATGTGTCATGTATAGAATGATGTTTTTGTACCATTGATGTATATTGTCTCCAAAATTAATTAAATTAATTTGACGAATGGTCCTTTAGCAACCACAACAAATATTGTACTTTCCGTTAATAGCCAGCTTAATTAAGGGTTTAATGTTGTCAGGAATAATCTTTGTAACTGAAATACTGTCTCCACATTTAACCATGCGTAACCAAGTTAGTTTGTCATTACAATAACAACACTTATTTGGGGGCCCATCAACATCAAGGCACGCCCGAGGATTAGATCAATGTCACAGAGGCATGAACTGAATGGAATCAGTTTGGGCGGATAATTATCTGGGAATGAAGTTCAGTTTCAATATGTAGCTTGTTAAAGGCGTAATGTTGCTGAGAATGATGATTTTGTAACTTAACATTGTCTATAGAATTAATTGTTTCAAACCAAAATTGTAAACGAATAAATATTGTTCTTTGAATGGATGTAGCTTGAGGTATCTGTCATCAGTTTACGGGTGCTTCTCTTTGAAATAACAAAAATATGGCAATTTCAGATATAGTATATAGCCAACTTAAAGGTTTAATGTTGTTGACAATGATATTTGTGTGTAAATATTATCTCTGGAATTAACCCATCTAACCAAGTCTGTTTGCTCTCACATTAAGTATAGTTTCTTTATGACTAATGTGTTTTGTCTTTTTATAATGTCTTTTCAATGCCTGTAGGCAACGACAGTAAACTACAGTTATAACAACTCAAAGTGACCACTAATGTCAGTTTGTTATAGCCGTTGTTCATTATCCGCTTTTCGACTGAAATCCATAGCAAGAGGCTGGGACCCCCAAGACAGTTTCTTCTATACGTGATGTTATATGCATTGTATGCTGTTATTCAATGTGTCCTGATTAGAATGATATTTGTGTAACTTTAAGAGTGAGTGGGTTTAATTTTACGCCGCACTCAGCAATGCTCCAGCTATATGGTCTGTAAATAATCGAGTTAGTCGCCTATTACGACAAGCATGGGTTACTGAAGATCAATTCTAGCCCGGACCTTCACGGGTCACCTTTAAGAGAGAATTTAAAATTGCATCGAACCAAATTAGTTTTTCATAATATAAAGAAAAGTTTGTAGCAAGAACAACATATATTGTTGATTGTATTTCAGTTCATAGATAGCTTAAAGGTTTAGTTCTGTCAGAAATAATATTTGTAACTTGAATATAGTCTCCATAATTTACCATATGTAACCAAATTAGTTTGCCATCACAATCAGATCACTTTCTTTGTAACAAAACAAATTTTGTACTGTTATGTCTATAAATAGCTATTTTTATGGTCTGATGTTATGAGTGATATCTTTGTAATTGAAATACATATTATCTCAAGATTGTACAGTAACCGATCTGATTAGGGATCTGCTATTATATACTCTCCCCCAAAAAGAAACGCATATAGGAATTTCAACTGTATTTTTATGTTTATTTTGAAACATCTTGTAGGCTTTATGAGTCAATGAAATATAGCGAAATTGCACACTGGGAATGCAGACTTATCCGTCTTTGGCACCAACTCGAGGAAAGTCAGTTTGAGTGTCACATGGAGACGTGTGGTGGCGCTGAAGTCAATACCTCGTGTGACCACCGTGGGCATCCAGAACTGCACGGCACAGCCTCGGCATCGAACGAATAAGTCTCAGAATCTCGTGTTGCCCAATCACAGCCCACTCTGCCTGTAGTGCCTGTGCAAGTTGCTGAAGTGTCTGGGACTGGGGGGTTACGGCGTCGCACCCGTCTGTCCAGGGCATCCCACAGATGTTCGATCGGGTTTAAGTCCGGTGATCTTGAGGGTCAGGGGAGCACATTGATGCTGTGGTTCTGGGGGAAGTCTCTAGTGTGACGTGCTGTGTGGGGCCTGGCATTGCCCTGTTGAAACAACTCCCTCTGGCGATCAATGATTGGAAGGAGGTGTGGGCGTAGGATTTGGTCACAGCACCATCGAGCTGTCGGGTTGCCCTGGATCATCACCAAATCACTTCTCCTACGGCAGGTGATCACTCCCCACATCATAACAGTGTCCTGGCCGAATCTGTCCACCTGGGGAACGCAAGCGTCGGCGAAACGTTCACGTCGACGTCTGTACACCCGCATTCTTCCATCGCGTCGTTCCAATAGAAATCGTGATTCATCACTGAACCAGATTCTACGCCAATTCGGTAGGTTCCAGGCCTGAACGTTGGTGCACCATTGAACTCGATGTCGACGATGTTGTTGTCGAAGCACAGGGCCAAAATAAGGTCTTCTGGCACGTAAACCAGCCTCTTTCAACCTGTTCCTGACGGTCAGTGCAGAAAGCCTCCTCAATCCGGGTATTTGTCGAGCGGTACTGGTCGCCGTATCTGTTCGATGGCGCAGGTGATGTTCCCGGATGTAGCAATCCTGCGCCGCCACTACGAGGGGCATCTGCTACCGAATTCTGCCGGCGATATCTCTCCCAGAGCCGTGAAATGGTGCTTTGGTGAACATTCATGCGTCGAGCAACTGCACGTTGAGACTGGCCAGCTTAACGCAAACCAATGTGATATGACGGTTGGCTACACTTAGACGTGGCATTTTGCGTTCGTCAACAATATTCCAAATACAGTGAATAATCGACAGACAACGATCAACCATTTAAACCCATCATTGAGACTATCTGATCCCCAATTTTCACGTGCATTGCATGTGAATTGTGTATTCTGTGACACTACACGCCCAAGTTGAAAATCATGCTGTTAAATACGGGTATTTTACGGATGGTGCGTTTTGTTGTGATGTTTCACAACATAAAAACCATAGGACTCATAAACAGAGCAAAACCTTTTGTAAAATGAATTACGTTTTAATTCACTGCTACATGAAATTGCTATTTTCATGATGCGTTTCTTTTTTGGGAGAGTATATTAGGATAAATTGGGATCAATGCACACAAATTGTATAGAGTGATACAATCTATCCACAAGACTGTAGGACAAGGATGATTTCAATTTTCCGATATATATACTGGACAAAATAAGGTAGGGATATTGGTATTTTTATAATTGATATTTTATCAGTGTGTCAATGAATAAATAGATCAGTGTTCATAATTTCAAAATTTACATATATCCTTAACTATTTTGGTCCAGTATATATGGAATGAACATAAATATATGCAATAACTGATTTCAGTTTAAGTTTTGTTTGTCTTTACAATATATGTTAGATGGCATGTTTATACATTTGTAAATATATATAAGGAATGAAAATCAATAAATTCAATTATTAATTTCGATTTTACTATACCGGTGATCTTTCTGCGCAATATGCTGATGCCGTTTAATGTCGAGACTTTGATTCGAATTAAATTTACTGCAAAACAATGTACTATTTGTGGAAACGCTTTATCATTTATGTTAATGCTGTCAGTATTAAGTTTAGTTTGAAATATTACACAGGGTCTTGTTTGAGTCAACATTCCTAATAAGGGAAATGCTGCAGTGTCAGTCTTTAATGTCTTCAGTTCACAACATTGACCGAAAGATCCCATCATCACTGAAATGGAAAAAAGATAATTAATTCCGATTTCACTATACCGTTGATCTTCCTTCACAATATTCTGATGACGTTTCATGTTTAAACTTCAATTTGAATAAATATTACTAGAAAACAATACAGAGTATGATGATGTATGGTTTATGTTGATATTGATTGTATTAATGTAAATTTGATATATTATACATGGCCTAATATGTTTTTATTTTCTGAGCGTCAACTCTCCTAGGCCTGATTTCTGGAAACAAACTTAAGTTTTTAATGAAATTTCAAACTGAGTTTGACAATTTGAAACAGTTGATCTTTTAACTCAACTGCATTTTAAAGATTAAAAAATGCTAAAAAAGACTTAAGTAATCACCCACCAAACTCAAATTTTCAACTATGTTTGGGTGTAATATTGATTTCAGTTTATTCTGGGAAAGGCATTTTCCTGCCTTTTGTCAAATTTGAGTAAAAACTCTAACTTAAGTCAAAACTCAGACTTAAGTTTGTTTCGAGAAATCGGGGCCTAATCAGGGGAAATACTGCAACACCAGTCTTTAGTATCTAATTGCCGTTACTTTTGAGCTATCATGTTCGTTCTTGGAATATTTTAAATGGCATCATGCGCCTCATGGCTTAACTAATGTTTTCTGTAAGTTGATATTTGAAATGTTGGTATGCACCCTGACCTGTGTTGCCTTGTGATGGTTTTGTTGAAAATACCCATTTTAACAGCATTCCACTTATACCATACCCTTTCAGCCACCAGTGAACATCCGGGTTAGAATCAGCAACCCAGGCTTCCGTAAAGCGGCCTTCACACGGCAAACTAAAGTTTGACAGCACATATTGTTACAATTTTAAAAGTTGTCAAACTCGCGTTTTCACACGAAACACAAGTCGTCAAACTTTCGCGTCATTTGAGCGTCACATGTCTCTATCGGTGTGGTCTGGTGACAATTTGGTTGACTGCGATTGGTTGTTTCTGAACAACAAGAGTTTGACAACACTTCACACGACAAACTCGAATTTGACAACACCAAAAGTTGATGAGAATAGAGACCAATCCTATTTCTCGACAACAGTTTGACAACTCTGAAATTGGTGTTGGTGGAGATTTGTTAGAATGTTCACACTCACAAACTCCAGTTTGACAACATGTGTTGTCAAACTTCAGTTTGCCGTGTGAAGGCCGCTTAACAGGATGGGATCGGGTGGTCAGGCTCGCTGACGTGGTCGACATATTGTGTAAATCGATGATGATGTTGTTCATCACTGTATTGCGGTGGTACGTGGTTCTGTGCTTTGATCAGTTGACCGCTATCAGTGAAGTTCAACAACAACGGATGGGTGACTCGCTACATTTTTTATCTGGCTAATCTGAGAGTTTGAAAGGTTATTCTCTGCCCCACACTGAAACATGAGTCGACTTGTGGTGTCAGCCTGGGTAAGTGACTCAGTTCAAAATGTGCCTCTGTCCACCCAGCTGTAAACTGGGTACCTGGTATGATACGATGGTAGTCTGAATTTGAACCCTGGGCGCCTGACAGTCGGACGGTTGTATTCTCCAAGGGGAGTGTTCTGTACTCGTTGACCAGGGGTAATATATGTCAGCGCTTTGAGCGTGCATTGTGCATGGATAAATGCGCAATATAAATGGACTATTATCATTATTATTATTGTCTGGACTCGATCATGGTTCAGACTTGATTATTGCTTGGTGTTGTGTTTAAGCAACAAACACACAAACAAACAAAGCACCCAGTCAGATTGATGTGAGGGGGAAGCAGAAGCATACAGGTCTTAAATGTCGACCATTTAGGTGAATCCATGAGAACCGGTGTAGTACGGACAAACCTTCAAACTTAATCTATGACAATTTGGCATTTGACTTGCCATTGGTTTCTGACATGCATAAAGGATATAGATTTAACCAGGCAGTCGTTTGACCTTTGTACTGAGTAGCTCTAGGCCAGGCTTCTCACCTGGGAAGTTTCATTAACCAGTGAGTTCAAGGTACAATTCAAGAGTAAACACAAAGAAATATTACATCCTGACCGATTGCATTGTTTGTTAGTTTGTCGTATAAGCCCACACACAGCAATATTCCAGCTCTATGACACGTGTCTGTAAATAATCGAGTATTGACGCCGCCGCTCAGTGACTGACATATTATGCATCAATCTACATAAGTGGGAGCATTACATCCATCAAGCCTGACCACCCGATCCCATTAATCGTACCAGGGAGACTAGTTGTAGATTATCCCTGATCGTACCTTACGACAAGCATGGGTTAGTGAAGACCAATTCTAACCCAGATCTTCACAAGAATATTTACTAATTTGGGTGATATGAAGTTACTGAGGGGTGTTGTGTCAACATTAAATATTCTTCTGTAATAAATAATTGTTGAAGTACATTCACCTGCCATATTCTGTCCTTACTTTCAGCTACAGACCTGTACCATATATTTGTACTTGTTCACCATTTGCATTTGCAATTTCTTCAGGTAATATGTTATTTTAAGTGAGTGAGTGAGTATGGTTTTACGCCGCTTTTAGCAATATTCCAGCAGTATCATGGTGGAGGACACCCGAAATGGGCTCCACATATTGTACCCATGTGGGGAAGCAAACACTTTAACCACTAGGCTACCCCACCGCCCCAGATATTTTAAGATTAGGTGTGTTGGTGGTGTTCTGTCCATTTGCTCCTTTCCTAAACATTTACAAGAAACCCACTGAAGGCAAAAGCAACAAATTTTAAAAGTAACTGAGTTGGCATCAATGCTCATTTAAATGGTCTGCCAGCACTATCCTGGGAGGGCCAGCTTAATGTGAGAGCAAAACCTCAAGGGATGCTGTCCATCATACCTGAGGTGAAGTGAGGTGAATTTGGGTTTAACGTCGTGCCTGAGAATATTTCGCTCATATGACGACATGCATGCGTGTGTATGTGTATGTGCGGCTGCTTGTACTAGCCCAGACTTAAGCTGGTTTATAGTGCTAGCCCACTGAGATACCGTGCCGCAGTGAAGCATGAATACCCCACTCAGACACATTATACTGACTCTGACCCGACCAGTCCTTGTTGTACCCATTAATGCCGAGCGCCAGGCGGGGACCAACAAGTACCATATCTTAATGTCTTATGGTATGACAGGGTTGGGGATCGAACCTGCGACATCCCGCTCTCCGGGAGGACGCTCTAACCACTACACCACGGAGGTGGTCCCATCACACCTGAAACACAATCAGGATGGTGTGGTAGCCTAGTGGTTTAAGCGTCCGCTCGTCACGCTGAAGACCCGGGTTCGATTCCCCACATGGATACAATGTGTGAAGCCCATTTCTGGTGTGCCCCGCCATGGTATTGCTGGAATATTGCTAACTCAGCCACTCACACATTCAGGGCGACTCCGCAACTTTAGGACAATGAACCAGGACTTTTGCCCCTGGCATTAAAATATAAAACATAGCCAACCTAATGCCAGGGTTACACTATGTTCCCGGCGGCCATGGCAGCCCTGTTTTGTCAAAACCTAGTAAAATGGGGACAAAACCGGATGGACATGAGAAAACGTGGGGGGACCGACCGAGCAAACGACACAGTCCATGAATGCAGTGGCAGATTTTTATTGGGTCCAAAAATTTGCCTTGGCAGTCACCGTGGGCACAAATGTGCTCCAAAGCTGGCCGGAATCCACGTTTCATCCGTTAAACGTCTTGACAAAACGTGTCAAAACCTTGATCAAAACATTAGAAATGTGAGTGAACCCATCGGAATGTGACTGGCCGGGAGGAAATGTATGGGCATCCGTAGCGGACTGCGGGTCAAACCATAGTGCGGCTTTGAGCTTCCGGGACTCATCAGCCTGTTTTTCCCAACAACCCATCACAGTGATAGACAATAAGAAAAACTAGCAGGACTGAACAAAACTTAACTTTGGAGGAAAAAAATAACCAAAATCCCGAGGCGCACTACGTTTTGGTGAAACGAGACTGCCGTAGCCACAGGGAACATACTGACTGACTGACTGAGTATGGTTTTCTGCTGCTTTTAGCAATGTTCCAGCAATATCACGGTGGGCGACACCAGAAATGGGCTTCACACACTGTACCCATGTTGGGATTCAAACCCGGGCCTTCGAGCGTAACGAGCAAACGCCTTAACCACTAGGCTACCCAACCGCCCCCACAGGGAACTTAGTGTAACCCTAGCATAAAGAAGTATTTTAAAAAAGGTCTTTGGTGTATTGTTTTATTGTAATTATTCAATAAGAAAATGAATAATCTTACATGATTACCTCATCAATATCTGTTTGTCTCTTCAAAACTATTTCTGAAAGAGCGGGCAAATATAACACATGCTATTTATATTTGAGATTACACTTTCTCATTAGTACATATTCTAGTACTTTTGTTGGTTTGAGTCCAATCCGGGATTCGAACCCACTCTCTCCAAGTCAGGCATCTAATCTGCAGCACACAAAGTCAGCCATCTCAGTCAAGCCACTGAGGCTTCCAAAATATAACATGTGTTACATCTGACCACTTTCTAAATGGGCAATATCTTGCTGTTTAATGACACTCATCTTCAGATGTAACGTAATATTGACACTATCCTGCATAGAGGACGAATTCATAGAGGTTATTCCCCATTTCATGTCCATCAGAAGTGATACGCTGTTCACCTGCTGATTATTTCAGGTCCTCAGTTCTTCCGTGACCTTCACCTTCAGTTTGTCTTCCAGAAAACATCTGGACATTGAATATACTACATCACAGCATGGCCTCATCGACTCCTTGTCATGTGTCACACTCCGAGTCACTGTCCAACTTGTTTAATGCACTTCCCACAAATTCCTGGTTGAATTCGTTATTTGATATCTGAAAGGGACAAAAGAGGGTGAGAACACATTCACATATGAAACAAAAGGGTCCTTTCATATTGATTCACTGCTATACCACATGCATTTTTTATATTCATAAGGATATGAGATAGTGAACAAAATTGTTTGAAAGCTGAACTATATCAGCTTGATGTGAGCAGAAAGGTCCAAGTGTCTCATGATGGAAACAGTTGTGACAAATCTAAAGGTACATAAAATGGTTCCTCAGGTGGTCCTTAGACAGATTAACTAAAGCAATATGAAGGAATCAGGTGGTCCTTAGACAGATTAACTATAGCAATATGAAAGAATCAGGTGGTCCTTAGACAGATTAACTAAAATATATGAAAGAATCAGGGCATCATTAGACAGATTAACAAAAGGAATATGACAAAATCAGGTGGTCCTTTACCATAACTTTAAGCTCTGTCAGATTAACTGTGGTAAGATTAAAAATAAAGTAGTCCTTAAAGATATTTGAGTAGTATACATTTACAAGTTTTTCAATTTACATTTATCACTTGTGTGATTGCATCTTAAGCAATATCTTACTTTCCCTTTCTTTAACTTCTTCATGAGCCGCAAGTCAGAATCTAGGTCATCAAGCTCTTCAGTGTCGTTAGTTGGTTGAACTTCCTCCAGTTTCCTCTTCTGTGCACGGAGTTTCTTCTCCACTCTCTTCTTCTTCTTTTCAACCTTCTCCTTCTGTCTGGACCACGGCACGGACTGAAAAGCAAATATCAGAGTTCAAATTTAATGTCACTGTACTGAAAAAACAAAACCATCGTTGACTTGTTTTTTTAAAAATAATTCTAAGCATTCTAAGTTTCCAAGATGGTGTTGAAAGAGAGAAAAATATAAAATACCTTGAGCACAACAAACTGGGCCTATGCCAATGATGCCCATAAATTGTTCACAAATTGCTCAATAAAGTCAATAGTTGTCTCCCTTGGTTTTGCCAGAATCCAAAGATCTGTGCACTCACTTTGGGTGGCCTCTTCATCTTTTTATGCCTCTGCAGCAGCTCCCCACTCTCGATCCTCACCTGGCGCTGCTTCTCCCGATGCTTGTCTCTGAAACCACAATGATAAATATATACCTATCTCCTGATCAGGCGATACAGTAACATAGATGGAACATGAATCAAATACTGGTGCATCCCAAATGTCAACATGACAACGTTAAAGGTAAGCATAAATATTGACAGTTGACATCAAGACCATGAAAGACCATCACTTAAAATACATGCATGTACTTACATCAATAACATATACTGAAATATTTTGAAAACGTTCATTCGAACTTTTGTAAAATTTGCAAAAAATTCAAATTAAGGTGTTCTGTGAAATTAGGCATGACATAATCGATGATGAAGACATAGTCATCATTATTTGTCATTCAAGTAAATAGTGCAAAAATCATTTCCTTGTTCCTGGAGTGAGTGAGTGAGTGAGTTTAGTTTAATGCCGCACTCAGCAATATTCCAGCTATATGGCGGCGGTCTGTAAATAATCAAGTCTATACCAGACAATCCAGCGATCAACAACATGAGCATCGATCTGCGCAATTGGGAACCGATGACACGTGTCAACCAAGTCAGCGAGCCTGACCACCCAATCCTGTTAGTCGCCTCTTACGACAAGCATGGGTTACTGAGATCAATATTCTAACCCAGACCTTCACGGGTCCCCAATGACAATGATTACTGGAGTTAAAGTTGATTATGTGTTTACATTGCGTTACACTATTGTCTAATCACAGAGAAATGTTTAACCAACTCATTGGCACCTGGTATGAACTCACCTGTGGTATGTACCAGAACACCTGTGCCTGATCAATTAGATCAACTGACCTGTGACCATACCAACTCACCTGCATCTGGTATGAACTCCCCTGTGACACATATCAAGCTCACCTGTATCTGGTATGAACTCACCTATAACCCATGCATACTCACCAGCACCTGGTATGAACTCACCTGTATCTGGTATGAACTCACCTGGGACACATACCAACTCACCTGCATCTGGTATGAACTCACCTGGGACACATACCAGCTCACCTACATATGGTATGAACTCACCTGGGACATACCAGCTCACCTGTATCTGGTATGAACTCACCTGTGACCCATACATACTCACCAGCACCTGGTATGAACTCACCTGTACCTGGTATGAACTCACCTGTGGTATGTACCAGATGACCTGTGTCTGATCAATCAGATCAACACACCTGTGAGAGATACCAACTCACCTGTATCTGGTATAAACTCACCTGTGAAATATACCAGCTCACCTATATCTGGTATGAAGTGACCTGTCACATATATCAGCTCACCTTTTTCTGGTATGAACTCACCTGTCACATATACCAGCTCACCTATATCTGGTATGAACTCACCTGTCACATATACCAGCTCACCTACATATGGTATGAACTCACCTGGGACACATACCAGCTCACCTGTATCTGGTATGAACTCACCTGGGACACATCCCAGCTCACCTATATCTGGTATGAACTCACCTGGGACACATACCAGCTCACCTGTATCTGTTATGAACTCACCTGGGACACATCCCAGCTCACCTATATCTGGTATGAACTCACCTGGGACACATCCCAGCTCACCTACATATGGTGTGAACTCCTCCAAATTACCGACTCAGTAGTGATTTGTAGCCACTAACCTGAATGGAATGTTGTCAACATTAATCTCTGCTGGATGAAAGTTGGGAATATCTTTTCCTTTTAATTCTGGCATTTTAGGAATTTTCAGGAGACCAAATCCAGTAGCTAGTTTACCAAAGTCGAGATCTGTGAAGACAACATCAAGGCTGTTTGATAATTAGGTAAACATAACTCTTGAAAAGGAAGCCATGTTCAAAATCATATTTCTGTATATTACAACCACACACATATATTATAGTTATAGGGTCTTGAAAGTTTTGCAAGTATGAAGAGCACTATGAAAACTGTGAGTGACACAAAATCACAATGGTTTAATCATGCAGTCATTTTTTCATCAGACTGTTCACTACTCCTAAAACATAACAACTGCAGAGGGGTACCTTGTTTTTCAGTGATATGTTCAGTGTTTACCCAAGTATCATATTCACCCAAGTATGGGAAGTAAGAGTGAGTTCATCATAATGCCACTTTTAACAATATTGCAGTTATAAAATGGTGTGTCTTCTTGATGAAGTGTGACCCCTTCCCAGTTACATGTGCAGGTGGTACAGGTCCTTTTTTCTACCACTTTGGTGAAAACCATGGGCATGGTTATAGTGCTAACAAACTTAAACACATAATCAGGGAAAACCTGGAAACTAAAAACAAACAAACAAAAAACAATGAGAGATTAGTTGACTCAGCCAACTTTGAGAGAAGTAACACTGAACAAAACTGACCACAACAAAGTTTGCTTACTATCTATCTTGGAAGGGCACTGTGTGGCTTACATTAACAGTCATTGTTAATCACCAACAAGTTTGTTTGGTGTTCATGTTGCAGGCCAGACAAGCCTGTGATTGATAAAATGAGCTTGTGGGAATCAATGACATATAATCGACAAAGTCAACAAATCTAAGACTGACTGAATTTGGTTTTACGCTGCTTTTAGCAATACTCCAGCAACATCACGGCGGGGGACACCAGAAATGGGCTTCACACATTGTACCCATGTGGGGATTCGAACCCGGGTCTTCGGCGTGACGAGCCAACGCTTTAACCATTAGGCTACCCCACCACCCCACAAATCTAAGAACTGCATCCAGCTTTGTAGATAAGCAGAAGAGTTGTGACCAACCTAATGAAACCCGGGCTCAAGGGTACCCCAACAAATACAGATGAACTGTGAAACTATACATCTATAAATTTTCTTGTACTGACCTTTGACCCTGAATATCACGCTACACTCATGTTTGGCGTAGGACTGGACGAAGGACACATAGGCTCTCATCCCCTTCTCATATATTGCCCTGAAAGTTACACATTGCACAATGAGTATCTCTCACAGAAACAACATAAACAGTCAAATTACAGATTTATTGCAATAGATATATACATGTATATATATGTCTATGCAGCATATAATTTAAGGAGACCGCCTCCGTGGTGTAGTGGTTAGAGCATCTGCCCAAGGAGCGGAAGGTCGTGGGTTCGATTCCCGACTGCGTCATACCAAAAGACGTTAAAATATGGTACTTGTTGGTCCCTGCCTGGCGCTCGGCATTAATGGGTACAACAAGGACTGGTCGGGTCGGAGTCAGTATAATGTGTCTGAGTGGGGTATTCATGCTTCATTGCGGCATGGTATCTCAGTGGGCTAGCACTATAAAACCAGCTTATGTCTGGGCTAGTACAAGCAGCCACACATACACATGCATTCATGTCGTCATAGGAGCGAAATATTCTCAAGCACGACGTAAAACCCAATATTTCACCTCACCTATAAATTTTAGGACACAATTCTACTAACTCTTATTCTACATAGATGCTTTCATTTTATACATTTTGTTTGCTAGTCTTCATGCAATCATTTTACGATAATTGATTCGATCACAAGACTCAGGTGTTATGAGACACTATGTATTAAAATGGCCTCTGTAATAAAGTGAATGAGTGAGTGAGTTTAGTTTTACGCCGCTTTTAGCAATATTCCTCCAATATCACCAGAAATGGGCTTCACACATTGTACCCATATGGGGAATCAAACCCAGGTCTTCGGCGTGATGATTGAACACTTTCACCACTAGGCTACTGCTCCCTCTGTGAAAAAGAGCTGTTGGGAAGGATACAGAATGGATCATGTATGTACCACATACCTGTCCTTGCCAGCCAGCTTCTGTACCGCGGGCAGGTAGTTGTGTACCTCCTCTGCCATCTCCAGCTGTTCCATTGGCACCTGTACATAAACACAGAAGATGTGGAGAGCTGTATAGACTGAGTTGGGTTTAACATCACTTTGTTATATTACATCGTGGCAGATTAATGTTGTAGGAAACCTTGAATTGATGCAGGTCTCAGATATTTACCACTTTGGGTTCACCCACAGTCACAATTAAGGTGCTGTGTGAGTGTGTGAGTAGGTATGGTTTTATGCTGGTTTACGCCGCTTTTAGCAATATTCCAACAATATCATGGCAGGGGACGTCAGAAAGGGGCTTCACACATTGTACTCATGTGGGGAATTGAACCTGGGTCTTCAGGGTGAGGAGTGGATGCTTTAACCATTAGACTACCCTACCGTCAATGTCAGTTGCCAATAAACCATAATCAGAGCAAATAGGATTCAAACCCAGACTCATAAGTGACAGGGGCTGGCCCTAGGGAAGCAACTCTGTACAGAGAATTGTGGCACCTTATACCACTGCACCACCTGTCAGGAGAGCTGCATGGAGACATCACAGACAGATTGCAAAATACATAGTGCAATGAATGCTCAGTTATATCACAGCAAGTTGATTCAATCTAGGACCTAGATTTTCGAAGCTCCCCCTAGTGTTAAGATGGTTGTAAATAACATACATCAACATTAACTTTCGACTATCATAGCGCTAAAAGAACTTCGAAAGTCTTGGCCCTGGACTTTTACAACATTGGAGAAACCAACAACAATTTGTATGACATGTACACACCAAGAATCCTCCTCATACACACAGCCAGCTCACCTTCTGGTTGATGCTGATGAAGGTGGTGTAGGTGTCCTCGGCCGGAAGCAGCATCACAAGGGCGTTGCCATTGTTCCCGATCCTAGCTGTACGACCACATCGATGAACGAAAGAACTAAACAGACAGAAATACACACATCAAGACCAGACATTGCAATATTTTGTTACAGTTCCTGGTGTGGAGGTGGGGAAAAACGAAAAAAAAAAGAAGAATATTAGGCCTTCAAAGAAACCATTGAACATGCTGCCATGTGTGCATGGTTGTTCATCTATTGATAAATGATAATAATTAATCAGCAATTTTACATGTTCATTCAGCTGAAAGGAATGTGTAAACATGGGTAAATCCCAGCACTTTGTACTCTTCACTTTATGGTTTGGAGAAATTCTTAAACAAAGTTAAAACAAGAAGACAAAGTCATCAATATCCCCCGCAATGGCAAAATACTCTTCATGATTATGTCTACAAGTTATGATTATGTCAAATATTTAGGTGTGGCTATAGAAGATGAGTATTGAAAGGTTTTTAAAGTTCTGCTCCAAAAAGGAGCACTATCACCAATTTCAGTCTATGTCAAACTTGTTGCCATGGAAATGCCAAAAATATTTTATTCAGTATTCCAAAACTACCAGCAGGCACCAGTACACCACCAGATCTATCTATGTGCCAAGTTTGTGAAGAAATATTGAACGGTTTTAGAGTTCTGCTCCGGAAAAGACAAATGTGCACGGACAGACAGATGGACGTACGCACGCACGTACGCACGCACGGACAGAGACCATTTTAATACCCCCCGCAAAACTCGTTGCGGGGGATAAAAAATATCTAGGGGAAACACAGACTATATCCAAGAACCAAACTAAATGTGACCCCATACTGCTCACGCCTCCCTCCTGCATTAACAGATGTATATTCTGAAAGTTTTCCTTATTACATGAGAAGTGAGTTGTGTCCCTTAGCTGCCCGGGATCAGCTCATGATGAGTTTGGATCCCATAGTCACCTCATCATATTGGTTTGTTCACACCACACTCACACTTAGGATTAAACTGACACGTCATTTTACGATTTTTCTTCTGTGGATTTAAGCTGATGTGTTGTGTTATAAACCAAAGTGATATTCCGTTAAGTTAACTCGCTATGTTAAATTTGCATGGAGTGGCATTACTATCTAAACTAAATAAGCATTTGTTTACCTGGCTGAACTTGGGGGGTCAAACTGTATGACCCAGTGTACTTCAGGAATGTCCACTCCTCGAGCCATCACGTCAGTACAGGTCAACACACCACTGTAACACACATTAGTACAGGTCAACACACCACTCTAACACACATCAGTACAGGTCAATACATCAGTACAGGTCAACACACCACTGTAACACACATCAGTACAGGTCAACACATCACTGTAACACACATCAGTACAGGTCAACACATCACTGTAACACACACCAGTACAGGTAAACACATCACTGTAACACACATCAGAACAGGTCAATACATCAGTACAGGTCAACACATCACTGTAACAGGTCAATACATCAGTACAGGTCAACACATCACTGTAACACACATCAGTACAGGTCAACACACATCAGTGTAACACACACTCACACCAGAACAGGTCAACACATCACTGTAACACACATCAGTACAGGTCAACACATCACACTCAGTAACAACACACCACTACAGGTCAACAGGTCAACACTGTAACACACACCAGTACAGGTAAACACATCACTGTAACACACATCAGAACAGGTCAATACATCAGTACAGGTCAACACACCACTGTAACACACATCAGTACAGGTCAACACACACACACTAACACACATCAGTACAGGTCAACACATCACTGTAACACACATCAGTCAACACATCCACTGTAACATACACATCAGTACAGGTCAACACATCACTGTAACACACATCAGTACAGGTCAACACATCACTGTAACACACATCAGTACAGGTCAACACATCACTGTAACACACACATCAGTACAGGTACAGGTAAACACATCAGTGGTCAACACACATCATACATCAGTACAGGTCAACACATCACTGTAACACACATCAGTACAGGTCAACACACCACTGTAACACTGTAACACACATCAGTACAGGTCAACACATCACTGTAACACACATCAGTACAGGTCAACACATCACTGTAACACACACCAGTACAGGTAAACACATCACTGTAACACACATCAGTACAGGTCAATAAATCAGTACAGGTCAACACACCACTGTAACACACATCAGTACAGGTCAACACACCACTGTAACACACATCAGTACAGGTCAACACATCACTGTAACACACACCAGTACAGGTCAACACATCACTGTAACACACATCAGTACAGGTCAACACATCACTGTAACACACACAGGTACAGGTCAACACATCACTGTAACACACATCAGTACAGGTCAACACATCACTGTAACACACACCAGTACAGGTAAACACATCACTGTAACACACATCAGAACAGGTCAATACATCAGTACAGGTCAACACACCACTGTAACACACATCAGTACAGGTCAACACATCACTGTAACACACATCAGTACAGGTCAACACACCACTGTAACACACATCAGTACAGGTCAACACATCACTGGACAACACAGTACAGGTCAATACATCAGTACAGGTCAACACACCACTGTAACACACATCAGTACAGGTCAACACATCACTGTAACACACATCAGTACAGGTCAACACACCACTGTAACACACATCAGTACAGGTCAACACACCACTGTAACACACACCAGTACAGGTCAACACATCACACTGTCAACACACACATCAGTACAGGTCAACACATCACTGTAACACACATCAGTACAGGTCAACACACCACTGTAACACACATCAGTACAGGTCAACACACCACTGTAACACACATCAGTACAGGTCAACACACCACTGTAACACACACCAGTACAGGTCAACACATCACTGTAACACACATCAGTACAGGTCAACACATCACTGTAACACACATCAGTACAGGTCAACACAGGTAACACACATCAGTACAGGTCAACACATCACTGTAACACACATCAGTACAGGTCAACACACACACACATCAGTACAGGTCAACACACTCACTCACATCAGTACAGGTCAACACACCACAGGTAACACAATGTACTCATCAACACACATCAGTACAGGTCAATCACATCTGTAATACAGGTCAACACACCACTGTAACACACATGCTTTGAAACAGGTCAACACATCATGTACACATTGGTAAGCTGTCGGAAATTCAAAATATCTTGTTTCGTTTCTGTTTCATTTTTCCATGGATAGAGAATCTGGCTCTTCTTTAGAATGCTGGAAAATAAAAACATCAACCATTGTAAAATTGTATCATGGCGTGCCATCTTGATGTGCAAAGTTAGACCAAAGTCATGCAGATCTCACATTTATCACCTTGCTGTAACCCACAACCTAATGGGGGCAGTGGGGTAGGCTAGTGTTAAAGTGTTCGCCTGTCATGGCAAAGACCCGAGTTTGATTCCCCACATGGGTACAATGTGTGAAGCCCATTTCTGGGGTCCCCCGGCGTGATATTGCTGGAATATTGCTAAAAGCGGCGCAAAACCAAACTCACTCACTCACAACCACGGGTACAGTGCTGACAAACCAAGAAACATGATATGGGTGAACCAGGATCCTGGGAGCTAAAGAGAAGTAGTTCGATGTGAAGTACATATACTCACTGTTGGAGGGCACGGGAGAAGTAATCCACGCTGGCACATGTGCTGAAGAACACCATCACCTTCTCCTGCTTGTGTTCCTTGAGGAAGTGGAGCAGCTGGTTGAACTTCTCGTCTGCATCCACGATCTAAGTCAACACAAAGATGTCAAATTATTTCTTCCCTCATCCTTGCCGAATGTCCTCTGCCAGTGACACATCCTACATGTATAAATGGACATCAAACTGAATTACAGTTAGTGGAAAATGGTCAAAAGGTTGTTCCAGATGGGTTTTCAAAACGGCTGTTGTAGCAACCATGTAAAATTTATACAAACCTGTAGAGGTTATGAATTCTTTGAAGAAAGTCCTCCTTGGGGTACATATAAGCATTTAAATGTCCATTTTAAATCCTATGACAGTTGTAACTATATTTTTTAATAAAATATTTACAAAACAAAAAACTCGTTTTTGTCTTGTGAGACCACCCCTACAGGGCCCCACCGGACCCCCTACAGCCAAGAGCAGGTAACTCTCGCCGTCTACCTCGTACCTCACTTTTCATGCTGAACGTGTCAGACAGAATGAGGGGAGGCGGGTGGCCGTACCCCAAGGAGGACTTTCTTCAAAGAATTCATAACCTCTACAGGTTTGTATCATTCTTTTTCAGAAGAAGTCCTCCTTGGGGTACATATAAGCATATGACAGACTCCCAAAGATATTAGACAACGGGAGTGGCATTCTGTCTGGCAACAACTAAACCCGTGGTGGAGTGAAATCGACAACCGATACGGAAATAGAAAAAACACCTAGCGAGCCACCTGACCGCTGATGCCAATCAGACGGGGGCGTGAACTAGAGAGCCCAAGCTTATATTTCAATTGGCTCAAATCAATTATGACATAAAACCCCATCCCCAACCATTACAATGGAAAGAAATGTATGGGGACATGCCGAAACAACTCCCAACCCTAATATAGCCCCAGCCAGAGAAGCGTGGCGAGAGGTATAAGGGTAGGGATGGCGTAAAAATTTAAACGCTAAAAAGCCAATAACCCAGGAGTCGAGCTAATAAGTACTGCAAGCTAATGCTCGAATGCACCCCTCCTGTTTGGAAGAGGGATTGCCGGGACCTCGATAAAACCCAGAGAAATTATTAGCCTGGCTAAAATCTTTCTGAGGAATCGAGCAGTACAAAGCGCCATGCATTGTGCAGTGAAAAACAGGATAAAACACCCCCACCAAATACTCTCGGTGAGGAGGGTAAGTGTAGACCACCATCCCACAAAGCTGATTAACACAGACTCCCAAATACCGAAGTCTCGGGAAGAGGGAAAATACTGTAAGCGTACAAAAATCCCTGAATAGCGAAAAGCGTGGCGAACATGTGTTGGCTCACCATTACACTCACGTGACATGCGTGACATGCGAAGAGGCATACCAAACAGTGCCCGTGGGGATTCGTGCCCAATTCCGTCGCCAAAGGCGGGTTAATAACATATGACTGGTTAAAGCGTTCAAAAGCGGACCCGCCCCTCTTGAAGAGGACATAAGGGACGTATGTACACCCAAACTCGACCCAACCCGAAAGGATGGTAAGGCTAATACGATGTAGTGATATGAAATATATCGACATTAAACACAGAACCGATACCAATGACCAGTTACTAACTTGGTCAGGGTGGCAGGACACTCTCCACTGGAGAGAACCGAAAGACTGAACATAGCACGATCCTTAGAATGCGTGTCAAGTTGGTAATGGCGAATGAAGGTGTTCTGCCGGCTCGAAAGAGCGACAGAACCGATCTCTTCATTCAGCAGTGCCGCTGTGTATTGCCAACAAAGCGGCATCTGCCCTACCCAGTCTGCCTTCAACCCCTCGGGGGGGAGGTACACCTTATCATTGTAACCGAACAATTACGGAAACAAGTCAACGACATAAAGTGCGCTTGCTAGCAGACTCCCCAGTCTTCCCGCCACCAAACAGAACACATGGGTACCCGTACGGATCCCTTTTGTTCGTTCGTTCGTGACAGTCATGGGTGAGCAATCGAAAGATTGGTCCCTGGTGTGGAAGGCTAGGTAAGGGGTGGAAGTGCGACGTGAGCAGTCACGTGGAAAGCAATATCGCACTGAGAGTGGTAGGTATCCGGGAGGCGAATACGGACATGATCAGTATAAAATACTGTCAGTGTCGGGTCAGTGGGAATCGCATGGATGTACTCGACCCTTCTACCAGAGCTCACCACAACAAGTAAAGTCGTCTTCCACGTCAACAAGTGAAGTGAGAGGGACGATATACTTGAAAAATCAGGGCCAGACAGCCAATTGAGAATAAGTGGCAATTTTAAGGTGGGCTGGGTCGCCGCCCGGTGTCGAACCCTGTTCATGCCAGCTACGACGCGATGTACGAGAGGATGCTGCCTAGGCAGAGCACCTTCGAACGAGATGTGAAACGTGGAAATAGCCATGGAGTACCCGGGAATGGTGGAGGTCATAAGGCTCTCAACCAAAACGAGGTTATAGTAACTCCAATATCCGAACTAAATCCGCAGAATAGGGATTATGAAATCCCCCTATCTGCACACCAGCGCGCCCCACCTATCAACACACTGAACGGGTGTCGAATCCCGCCTCGAAGCCAGAATTGTGTCTGCAACGGTTGCAGGAATTCCGCGTGTCTGGGTGTTATACCCGACAGAGGCCAAGCCACCCAGTGAATCCGAGTGTGGCGCCCCGTTCAGAGTGAGAATGTCTGGCCGAAAAGGTCATTCGAATCCCGGCGTGAGGGATCGAACACCAACCTGACTGCTGTCAATTCCAGCACATTGATGTGCAGGTTGTGACTTCGTCGTCAAGAGACTGCAGGTCGCCCAGAACATCGCCCTAACCCGGTAGGGATGTATCTGGCTGGACTGAAGCGACGGTGTCTCCAGCGGGGGGACCCTCGGAGAGACGCCTGACGTCTGTCCATCTGACTGCGTGAGGTTGACAATTCCGCCCAGTTTCGTAAGACTGACCAACACTGATCGTGAGGTCCCCAGACTCAATAGTTATGCTAAAACCACGATGAGCCAGTCGCCTAGGTACGGGTGACAACACCGGCACTGCGATCTGGCTATCTGAGCTGTAATAAACCTCAATTTGGTGAACACCCTTGGCGCCGTAATGTAGCCTAAGGGGAGCACACGAAACTGGTAGCGCGTCCCGTCAAACAAGAACCGAAGGTAAGTCTTGAAATCAGGGTGCAATGGAACAAGGAGGTACGCGACCTCCAGCTCGATTGATGTGCACCAATCCCCTGTCGACAGATGAGATCACCGAGCGCGGTGTCTCCATCTTGAAGGACAGTACCTCTATTAACTTGTTCAGCTCTCAGATGAGAATGGGTCTGCACATTCCGTTCTTAATGGCAACGATGAAATAAATGGAGTCAAACCCCACATTGTCCTGACCATTGGAAACCACCACGTTGGTTGCCTTGCCCAGCAGAGACTGGATCTCGGCACGGAGTATTTTCGCCGTCTCCCGGGAAGCCGACACTGGAGTGTGTCGCTCCGACCGGGGATTGCGGCAGAATACAGTAAACCCCAGCAGTCGGCAACTTAATGTTTGCCGGTGCCTGGGCACCTGAGGAATTAACCAGAAGCTCAACGGACTTCCGTATTCCTCGAGACAGTCCCGGGTGTCATAGGCCCATAACCGCACTCATCATTTGGCTGGCACAGCTACAATGCAGTCCCTAGCCAGATGAGAGTTGAGACCTCCGTCAGATGCCGCCCAGAGTCGCCGACGAAAAAATACCACCGGCGCTCTCTCCCCTTTCCACCAGCTCCCTCAGCAGAGCTGAGAGATGCGCCGAGTGGAGCATACAATGTTGAGCTGTTAAGGGGAAAGAACGGCAGACTGACGGCAGAGTGTGAGGCCTTGTCCCGTATGCCTTGCTGGAAGCAGGCTTCTCTCCGGGAGGCGAACTCCAAAGGTTCGGGTATTCGACGTGGACAACACCCCGAGGCAACACAGCCGCGATTCTATCTCGCACTTGCCTCAGGGACGAACCTACTCAGTGGTAAGGTCAAAGTAGCACAACCGGCACACTCGATAGCATCTTGGTCAAGACGTCGATAAACATCAGGCCGAGACCTGAACTACCGGCGCCGGGAATCTGCGCCCTACCAGTGCCGAAGCCTGGGTTGGTGCTACCCATGGGGCTCAGAGAATCCGAAGCTCATCTTGGCTGTAGGGGGTCTGGTGGGGCCCTGTAGGGGTGGTCTCACAAGACAAAAACGAGTTTTTTGTTTTGTCAATATTTTATTAAAAAATATAGTTACAACTGTCGTAGGATTTAAAATGGACATTTAAATGCTTATATGTACCCCAAGGAGGACTTCTTCTGAAAAAAGAATGAATGTTCTTTGTCAAATTCAAGTGGCTTCATTGTTTGATACAAGAATGTTTCAGCTTCTCTAAGAGATTCAGAATGATCACAGCCAAGCATGCAAGACACTTGAATTTCAGACAGGTGAGAAAATAAAATCTGACTTTGTACATTTCACATTAAGAAATGGCCTGTTTGAAACATAACAGAAGACATTCTGTTAGGGCACCAGTGTCTTCTCCAGGATGAGTGAGTGGATCGGCCCTTACCATGTAGTAGTTCTTGAGAGTCAGTGGCGTCCTCTGCAGCGACTCAGACTCCGTTGACAACTTCTCCTTCACTGTGATCCTCAATGGGTTCCTCAGCCCTGCTCGGATCAGATTCTCCACCTCATCTGTCTGGGTGGCCGAGAACAGACCAGTCCGCCGCTGTTTGGGGAGGTAACTCAGGATAGTGTTGATGCTGGAATATAGAAAGGTAGCTACTAAACAATCCCAGCCTCATTTGTCATTTGTCATTTGAGTGAGCTTGTAGATGGGTGTGTGGGTGTGTTTGTGGCTGCGTGTGTGTGTGTGTGGCTGGGTGTGTTGGTGGGTGTGTGGCTGGGTGTGTGGGTGTGTGTGGATATGTGGGTGTGGGTGTGTGGGTGGATATGTGGGTGTGTGGATATGTGGGTGTGTGTCTGGGTGTGTGTGTGTGTGTCTGGGTGCATGGATGCATCTCAGCGGTATGAGAACAGATGTGTCCATTGTTCTTTGAAATTATTGTCTGCTAAAATATCAGCAACGTCATGAACATCTATGGACTGGCCTGTGAAATCAGTCCAAGGGACCTCAGTGGTTGTCTGTGAATGGAGACCAACATAATCAGCATCAGTTTTTTTCTCAGCTCACCTAATAGTCAATTCAACATTTCTTGAAAAGTCTTAAAGTAAGGCCAGAAATGCTTGGAAAACGCTTTTTGGCTTCAATATCAATATGATGAATTTGACACAAGATAAAAGCACATATATGATACATGTACCTAGTTGGATATTAAAGCTCAGATGAAAAAATGCACTTGAGGGTGACTTCACAGGAGGAAATTTTGACGTTTTTAACAACATTCATAAATAAAGTACAAACTGTACAGACTATAATACAGACTGTAATTATTCATATAGCCTCAACTAATTAAATTACATAAATGATTGTAAGAAGTTTTGGTTTTTTAACACCTATATGTGAAAAAGATGGAACTCTTGTAGTAGTTATATTCAAAATACTTACGTAAAAAATCTCTTAATTCAAATTGCATAGATAATCTTGTTCACCCATAGAAGTTTCACTTTGTGTATGAGCACTGAACTGGCAACATGTGACTTGATATCTCTGTAGAACAATTAATTTCAACTTTATGCCAGTATTTCATACTGGAGAAACAAAGGGGGAAACCTCTCGTCAGCTATGACAATTTTTACTATAGTGTAAAGCCCTTAATTTGACATATAGTCAGGTTTACAAAGTTGTAAACAAATCAGTTACCTCAGGGGTCGTGTCAAAATCAAAGCCAGGTAGGAAACACAAATTGGATAGTTTGATAAGGGTGTCATATGCCATGCAGTTTATAAACTGTATGTATGACGTGTTCTAAAATACAAGATGAGATCAAAGATACAATAGTCTCGAAAACAACACTTATTGTAGCTCTGGTAGAAATGGGGTTCAGGTACACCAAAAGGGGAGATGTCAGAGCTGTGTTTAGAGAAAAGTACTCAATCCTGTCCATGCGATCAGCTTATCTCAGAACAGTTCAAGAATACCGCAATTTGGGGTTTCAAATTATATACCTTGATGAAACCTGGTGTAATAAAAATCACTCAACCGATCGGATATGGCTTCCTTCAGATTGTTCTAAGGCACCAGTGTTACCATCAGGCAAAGATAGACACCCGATCATCTTGCATGCTGGTACCCGTAGCAAGGGACTGATTGGGGGTTGTGACTTTGTTTTTGAGGCCAAGAAATCTGATGGTGATTACCATAGCGAAATGAACGGGCAGGTATTTTTGGATTGGTCCGAACATCAGCTTTTACCGCAGCTGGACGAACCAAGCGTTAGCATTTTGGATAACTTTACCATAACCTGTATGTCCCTGGTACCATCTCACCCACCATGAGCAATCTCAAGGCTCAGTTACAGGATTTTCTCACTTCCTGTAACGTGCCTTACAGGCAATCAGAAACAAAGCCCAGCTCATGGAAAAAAATCCGGCAGCAAAAAAAGCCAATCCAGTACATCACTGACGAACTAGCTGCAAAACAAGACCACATAGCACTGCGTACATGTACACCAGCTTAGTCCCATCGAGCTGATCTGGGGTAACTGTAAGGAGTTTATTGCTCTCAATGATACCACATTCATGCTTTCAGACCTTAAAGAGCTTGTGTATGCTTCTTTTGTGAGAATTACCCCAGATGTGTGGCAAAAGGCTGAAGACTGTGTTCTCAAAATCAAGGACGAATACCGTCTGCGGCACCTGTTGTAATTCCGCTGGAGTCCTTGACCAGCAGTGATACTGACACTTGATATTTTGAGACGGGTCCCTGACATGTACTGCCCATGCATTACATAATGCTGTCGCCCTGTCTGCCTGCCAGGTGGGTCACAGTATAGTTTGTTTCTTTGAAGTTTTTTCGATATTTTATGAGTAATCATTTTGATTAGGAAATGATACACCATGATTACTCACATGCCATATTAGGTCGAGGTGGTATGAATGATTTAATGTGAGTTTTTTAATCTGAAATATCAACCATTATCAAATAATTGCCAAAAAGCATTTTCCAAGCATTTCTTGCCTTACTTTAGCGACAACACTGTTCCAGTTGTTGTTCCACACAGGAATATACAACTCATATCAAGTGGATAAAAAAAACTGGTTAGGCAAACCAGTGATCGATAGCATGAATGGTGAACATGAGCAGGGAATGATGGTACATAATCGGCAGAGGCAATAGGAATATCACCTGGCCCTTATTTGAATCTGTCCTCACGGCTCAGTAGGAACCAAGACTTTTATTCAACACACATTCCCCAAAACAGTAAATACAATCACAGTAAATACCGGCATGCTGAAGCCTGAACATAAAGATAGGAAATATGCACATTTACCTGGCTGTAAATCCCATGTCCAGCAGTCGGTCAGCTTCATCCAAGACAAGCACCTCCTGAATAAATGTAGAAGTAAGTGAATTCAGACGTTAAAACCTTAAAAGCCTAAGTCGATCATATTTCAAATATCCCACGATATTCCTTTTTCTTTAAACACAAAGTAACAAGTATTTTTACACTAACGATTAAAGTAAAACAATTAGGGTTTAGATGGCTCGCTGAAGCAGGAGAAAGGTTCACAGTCCGTTAAATTCCAACACAGTTAATTGTAGATTAATGAACACCTAAAGTAGAACTGGTAGAAACAAAAGAGCAACCCCCAATTGTACCCACCAGGGCCTTGACGCTACCAGCCAGGTTAAATGCGCCTTGCTTCCTCTGGAACATGTCTTCCATCCGACCTGGTGTAGCTATCACAATATTACCTCTGTTGATAACACAAAAACATACCATAAACAAAATGAAGAGGCGACCACATCTTTTTCCCTCATGCTATGTGTGACGATAAACTTAGTTATGTCAGGGTAACCACGAGAGAACTCGGACCAACCAGTCTTTGTTTCTTTACTAGCTATAAAACTTCTTCACAAAAGAGTGAGTATGATTTAATGCCGCTTTTAGCAATATTCCAGCAATATCACGGTGGTGGACTGAAATGGGCTTCACACATTGCAACCATGTGGGAAATCGAACCTGGGTCTCCAGTGTGACGCGTGAATGTTTTAACTACTAGGCTACCCCACTGCCCCGTCTTGACAAAAGAACACCTATTCAGTTAGTGAGTGAGTTGTGTTTTATGCCACTTTCAGCAATATTCCAGCAATATCACAGCAGGGGACACCAGAAATGGGCTTCACCATACCCATGTGGCGAATCGAACTGGCTCTTCGGTGTGACAGGCAAACGCTTTAACCACTACACTACCCCACCACCCCACACCTAATCAGAACACAAATATAAACTCAGTAGTCTACCCTTTGGTCTGGGGACATACACCATCCCTGTCAATGTAATAGCATGCTGTGTATCATTTTCCATGCAAAACTGTATATATTATGGTTATTCTTGGGACTTGACACTAAACATGCCATTCTCCAAGCTCCACTCGCGCATCTATAGAAGTTTAGATGATGTGTTTCTATGCAGGTGTTGCCAGATCCTCACACCGGGAGGTATTGCAATGGAGCAAAATGTGATTAAAGAGACTGGGTCCAATCATTGACTAAACTGACATCAGACATTGAATTCTGATAAAAATAATGCATGATTTTATTAATGATTATATTTGGAAATAGTATCAAAAATGATATCCTCATACTGATAGTGATATGAACATGCATATCAAAACATGGACACAGCTTGTTTTGTTTGTTATCGTTTTACCCATATTCAGCAATATTCGGTTACAACCAAGACTAGTCCAGACTGACCGACTGACTGAGTTTGGTTTTACGCCGCTTTTAGCAATATTCCAGCAACATCACGGCAGGGGACACCAGAAATGGGCTTCACACATTGTACCCATGTGGGGATTCGAACCCGGGTCTTCAGCGTGACGAGCCATATGCTTTAACCACTAGGCTACCCCACCGCCCCACTAGTCCAGACTATCTAATGACTGACATTATGAGCCTTATTATTATTCATACACGTCAACACGTTGACCACACAATTCATTTACTTGCCTCTTACAACAATCATAGGTTCTTGGATCTACGTACTTACCTGGATTCCACTCGGGATCTTGTGTTTGAAAACTTACATTACAATACATATCAATGCATCAATCTTGAATTATGAAGCTACTTGCCCATGTGCGAGGAACTTGTCGATATTAGCCCCAACATTAGCACCCCCTATGAAGAGTACTGAGGAGAAGTCAGAGAAGTATTGGAGGAAGTGGGAGAGGACCTCGTCGATCTGTATGGCCAGTTCTCGCGTCGGCGTCAGGATCACTGCACCCACCTGTAACCATGGTAACGCCATGCTTCAACTAATTTCTACCAGTGTCATATATTACTGACAAGGTTGGGATAGTTTGCAGGTGTGTGAGTGAGCAATGGTACATCAAGGCAGGGGGACAGTAAGGACAGATGTCACATATCAATAATCATAGCATTATTGAAATGTGAGGTGAAATTGGGTTTTACGTCGTGCTTGAGAATATTTCGCTCATATGACGAAGTGTATGCGTGTGTATGTGTATGTGCAGCTGCTTGTACTAGCCCAGATTGAAGCTGGTTTTATAGTGCTAGCCCACTGAGATACCATGCCGCAGTGAAGCATGAATACCCCACTCAGACACAGTATACTGACTCCGAGCCGACAAGTCCTTGTTGTATCAATTAATGCCGAGCGCCAGGCAGGGACCAACAAGTACCATATTTTAACGTCTTTTGGTATGATGCGGTCGGGGATCAAACCCGCGACCTTCCGCTTTCCGGACGGACGCTCTAACCACTACACCATGGAGGTGGTCCATAGGAATATTGAGAATCAAACAATGAAAGTTTTTTTGACAAGCAATTCCTTCAAATCGACGCTTATCCCATTGCTTCATAACAGTATACAAGGTACCAGCATTTCAAATAGACCATTCTCAGAGATCAGGATACTAGTAATAGACAGTCAACATTCAAAACATGCAGGCCTGAAGATTTTGGTTTGAAAGAATTGATAATATAAACTCATTACACAGCCATAAATTATTCGCATCTGTAGTTATTTGTCCTTATTGTTCAGTTCATAGCATAAAGGAAAATATCTGAATTGACAAGTTTGTAACCAGACTGGAAGTGTATTAGACTTGCTTGTCTGGCAAACTGGCTCAAATTTATCAGAATTTTAAACATTGAAGTCAATTTTATTTCAACAATGGACTAATATGAAAACTATATACTATCAATCAGGGTTTAGAAAGTAAATGTGTTGAGACTGGAGATTTCTTAAAGAAATTTGATCTTATGAGATTAAGTAGAGCTGGAGGATAAGGGGAGACTGCCCAGATTCATCAATTACCTCATGTTTCTTCAGGGGAGTCTCTCTTTTCTTCAACATTTCCAGCAGAGGGAGAAGAAAGGCCAGCGTCTTCCCACTTCCTGTAACTGCCTCAACAGCAACATCTTTGTTCCGCAGGAACTGCGGGATACATGCTGCCTGGAATAGATGCATAACGTGATAAAGATCGAAGAATAAATGTTGCTAATGCACACAGCTACAACTTTAGCAATACCAAGATAGTTGGCTAGGAGATAAACATCATGTGTTGGCCAATTTCTGGGTGTTTTTGAGTATTTGAAGCACGGGAATTCATTTGGAACCGACGGCATCAGACGGAGGTTTCAAATGAAATATTCCAATAACTTCCAACATGATGTTTATCATTATAAACACAATAACAAAAGGTCCACAATGTTTTGTGTCTGCACTAAACAAAATGTTTTATCGACATGTCGATAAACATCAAAAATTTCTGTAATTTGAAGCCAAAAGGTCCACACATGTTTTGTGTCTGCACTCATTGACATCGAGTACGGGTACAGCAGTGAAATGTCATCAGCCGGCCGTTTCGGCTGTCTCTCATATGGTAGCATCTGGAACTGCTCATTTGTGACATCATTCGGACTTTACTTCACAATATGATTTGAATGACGTCATCACAGCTGACGACATAACAATACAATGGTGTGAGCGATGTTTGTATGTAATAATACGCAGCAAATTTCCGAGAATCGAATACCATTTGATCATGTTTTTCAACCAATCAGATTAAAGAACACAGTGACTGTTGGTTTACAATTTAGTTTTAGTAAGGCAAACCAGAGGTTGATCGCATGAGCAAGAAACAGGCAGTCGGGTAAAAATAACACACTCTCGAGGGGGAACACACTTTACTGGAACATGGGTTATCTGTACAGTCCTATGCCCAGAGTGAGTGAGTGAGTGAGTGAGTGAGTGAGTGAGTGAGTGAGTGAGTGAGTGAGTGAGTGAGTGAGTGAGTGAGTGAGTGAGTGAGTGAGTGAGTGAGTGAGTGAGTGAGTGAGTGAGTGAGTGAGTGAGTGAGTGAGTGAGTGAGTGAGTGAGTGAGTGAGTGAGTGAGTGAGTGAGTGAGTGAGTGAGTGAGTGAGTGAGTGAGTGAGTGAGGTGAGTGAGTGAGTGAGTGAGTGAGTGAGTGAGTGAGTGAGTGAGTGAGTGAGTGAGTGAGTGAGTGAGTGAGTGAGTGAGTGAGTGAGTGAGTGAGTGAGTGAGTGAGTGTTAGTTAGTTAGTTAGTTAGTTAGTTAGTTAGTTTAGTTTTACCCCGCTTTTAGCAATATTCCAGCAATATCACAGCGGGAGACACCAGAAATGGGCTTCACACATTGTACCCATGTGGGGAATCGAACCCAGGGCCTCGGCAGGACGAGCAAACGCCTTAACCGCTAGGCTTCCCCACCGCCCTCCTATGCCCAGAGAAATTGTCAGGATTAATGTGTCATGCATATGGGGTACTGTATTTATACTATAGATCTTCCAAGATGATCACTCAAAAGGCAAGGTTGTAGGGTCACATGGTCTGAATTGACAGTCTCTGGTCTAACAAGGTCTTTGGTCTAGTTGTGCCTCTGGTCTAATAATGAGCTTGATTGTCAAGGACCCTTAAACATCTTGAATAAGTCTTTGGTCTTACAGAATCTCTGGACTAACAGGGTTCCTTGTCTAACAGATCTATGTACCGACAGGGTCTCTAGACTTAGTTGAGATTCTGCACTATATCGGTCTTTGGACTAGGAGGGTTTTAGTGTAGATATGGATTTTTTTGCAGGACTTGGTACCTACTCACTGCTGAGGGAACAGACAGACATACCTGAACTGGGGTCATCCGTTTGAACTTGAGAGCTTTAATAGCACTTAATGTTTCCTTGCTTAAAAGACTGGATAGTGAAGTCCACTTGACATCCATCTTTGATGAGCAGCTTCTGATGAAGAAATTCCTGTGATTATGTTTATAATTGATTGATCAACACGTTAGCCAGTAGTAACATAATGATAGAGATCACGTAGTTACGCCAAAATGCACTAGCTGCATTGGGCAGATCCTGGCAATGAGCCCACCATATTTCTCATAAATGTCAACTGTGACCTTTGCCATGACACTTTATGTATGTGCAGCATTGTGCACCCGACCTTCTTCAAGATCCTGGATACACATCTGGCAGAAACTATATTAACAGGATATAGCACATAACCATAACCTTTTCATGCCGCTTGATTATCTCTACAACATTTTCATATTGTATACATTCTGGCGGAGCGGGGTGTTTATTCGCTTATTTCGAACTTCAACACCCTACTTCCAAAAGATTGGCGCCGCCATAGCTGGAATATTGCTGAGTGCGGCGTAAAACTAAACTCAATCACTCACTCCAAAAGATTGGCGAACAGGTGTCCGCTGTTCTGTAAGCTGTAGACTGCCAGTTGTCCAGACGGACCATTTTGATTGTAGTTGACTTGAGGGCCAGGCGATAAAACATGGTTTATCATCTATTTCGATACATGTGTTCATGAACTTCATTTTCAGATCGGTCACCAAAAAACTCGACTGTGACTGTGAGAGTGTAGATGATCTTTGTCACAAACAACCCAGATTTTAAATTACGACTGGTCATAGTGTAGATAGTAGATACAACTAAATGGTTTACTTACTAGTTACTCAGGGATTGTGGTATGTAATCAGTGTTTCTGTTATTGTTATTTCACATGCCACATGGAGGCTGACATATTGGTTTCTCTAAATTCAGGATCGGAGTTCAGAAACTGAGTTTCTGTCTACTATAAAAGCGTAGTTTTCTGCGCATACAAAACGTAGAACCAGTTTGATTCCTTTTAAAGTACGAATCTAAAACGAACCATAGCTTCCAGAATACAGATGTTTTTTAAAATTTCATAATAAACATAATAATGATTTTGAACCAAATTTCCGATTAATTTTGTAACAAAATTTATTTGTGTTATTTTCTTAACATATGTTTGAATATCCAAAAGATCTTTCGGTTTTTTTGGCCCTTACATGTGAATATTGTGTTACGATTAAATAGATGAAAAATATTACACTTTGTAGTAGGAGGTAATCAAAATAGTTCAAATATTTGGGGAGTATCATTCAAAAAATGGATATTTTATAGTGCTTCAAGGTCATGTTATGAACTTGATGAAATATTCTATTAATATGTTTAGTTGGTTTTGAGTATTCATGACTTAGCTATTGTGTATTCATGCTTTGCTATTATTTTCAATACCACAGCAAGTCCTGCATATAACAAGAAGTACCATATCTACATATGTGTGATGTGATGTGGCCAGGGGACTGAACCACTGACCTCCCATAGAGGATGCTTAGTCCAATGGAACACATTAAAAGATTCAGTTCTCCTCCCTTTGAAAGTTTCTCTATTTGATGTAACAAAATGGAACTTCCCACAATACCAACCATCATGAAATGACCTACAATGATGGGTAAACAAGGATCGTACAATTCACTTGAGCATGTAGTGAATCCATCTGTATCCCTTCATGAATTCAATTTGTGATGCGAGATCACTAGATTGGAATATTCATGAATGTTTTAAAAAAGAGTGTTTATATTTCAGTTTGTGTGTTATGTTTGAAACTGACACATGCAAAATGGAACATATCCAAACAAAGCTGGATATTAGTCAACACTTTATACATTTAATTCAACAATAATGTTGTTACTGGTTACTGTTATGATAAAGTACCACTGTCAACATAGCAAATATTTTATTTTGTATCTGTTCCATTGAATATAATGAATAATTCATCAACTGCTGACTTCTTGTTATTTATTACCAAATATCAATATCAGTAAGTAAATAATCCAATATCTGCGATGTGTATAATAGCATGGATGGAGGATTTGTTGCGCCACTGATAAAAATAATTTTGACAAGCCCGAGATAATTCTATCAAGTAGCCAATGTAGCTTGTAGTCAGTGAGTTTAGTTTTATGAGACTTTCAGCAATATTCCAGCAATATCATGGCAGGCGGCACTAGAAATGGGCTTCACACATTGTCCTCATGTGGGAACACGCACCCAGGTTTTTGGCTTTAACCACAAGGCTACCCCGTCGCCTCATGTAGCTTGTTAGATGAATATCAATGTCAACCCTTCAAAACATTAATATGTAATTGGTTTAGAAATAGGACTTTGTAAAGAAGAAAAATTGTGATCAGTACCACATTGTGACTGTCTGATGTGCAAACAGTGAATTCAATAAAATAACTTGTGAAGTGATTCTTACACGCATGGGATGGAGAGTTCAAGTGTTTGAATGGAAGAAGTGTATTATTAAATACAGTTGATGTGTCAGCCTGAATAACCATTGGCCCTCCCATCTGCATGTAGACAGCATGGGAATCCCCCCAACTGCTATCACTGCTTTGAAAAGTATTTCTGTTCGATCACAGAGTGTAAATTTCATAATCAACTAAAGATCATAATCAGAAAGGAACCACAATCAGCGGGTCCTGGCCCTACTAAGGGACACAACTCTGCACAACAAATTATGGTACCTTGAAGGTGTTGCACCTGTGCCTGAACTCTCACCATGATATACTAAACATGAAGGAAACAAAAACAATACAAAGGTAAGTCTTTCACTTGATTTTATTCACGAAAGAGAACTCATTTCTCAAAGGAACATCTATTTCTACACTCCTTGATAGTGAATGGAACTCGTTATCAATATTATTTACACAAAGTCTACACAATGCAGCATTCATTCATCGTTTGGCCATCGTCTCTACGGCCTTCAACACTTGCTCAGCTGTCATGTCAGTAAGGGGTAGGCTGGACTCCTTGCCGAATTCTGTAACAGACAGCAAATGTCAAAGGAATACATGTCATGCAATACAGAAATATATAAAAAATCATAAGAAGTCTGAGCATCATATCCCCTTTCGATTATCACGTCTAGGACAACTACTCCAGGATTGTCTGGGCAAGGTTTAACCAATTACAGACTGTCGTCATATAGCTGTAATAGTGCTGAGTTCTTTGTTCATTAACTACCAACCGGTTAGTAATTAACTTTGACCTAACCACTACTACTGCTTCGTTTAGGAAGCAATGTAACCGTCTCAGTCTCCTTTATCCATAACTTTGCAGATAATTTCTCTTGGTTACAAGTGAATATTTTTTGGAATGCTTTTTTAACAATCCTATTTTATTTAATTGACTGAAAAGTAGTTTTGGATGAGAACTGAGACATCATACACAAGAAGTAGCAGTACTGGTGGGAAAGTTTCTTTCAACACAGCAGGCTTTGTTGGCCATTCCAACAGTATTGTACTCAAAGGTTTTTACTGTGTTGTCTTAACCATATATTAAACTGACTGCTACTGTGGTGCATGTTGAATCACATGACATCCAAAACTTGCAACAACAAATTATTCATCCAAAATTTTTTATTGTTGCTTAATTTCTTGACTTCAGTATATAGCATGTCACTGCAACAGGCTGTGATGACCTGTCATGTGGATCCCTTCTGGCAGTCATCACATTCAATAAAGCCTTATTGACAACACTCATCAGTCATAAATCATTATCTTGCCTCACACATAAATGTTGTTTTCTGATTGGCTGAGTGCTCTACTATTATTTTCAATGTACCCCGCTAACAAGCGAGTAACATTTTCTATGTACCCCGCTGGGAATGCTAAACTCATTTGGTACTTCGTTGTAGTAATTCTTTATCTCGAATAACACTGAATCACGTATGATGTACGGAATTTACCAATGTTTTGCGAATGCTAATTGATGGAAGGGAGATAACTCTAAATTGTTTTTCTTGTCATCTGGTACTCCATACTATGATCCGATCCCCATGCCTCAAACAGTTCAAAATTACCATTGAGGCATTCGGTAAGATACATATGTTGTTCACTGGTCCCTCGGTGGCCATGGGTTGATGTACCCTCGATGTTTCTTTATGTTCCCCACGTCCTTTGGGCTCAGGGAACATAAACAAACATCGAGGGCACATCAGCCCATGTCCCTCTCGAGACCAGTGAACAACTTACATTGCATTGATGTTCCATCAACCTTACCATATCTAGCATATAGCTTGGGCTGGACGTTGCTACATTCTCTGACGAGGAACGGGAACTTAGGGTTGTGTCTTTTTAGATCAACATAGTACTTCTCTACAAAATCCCTGAAACAAATAAGGAAAACTGACCATTGTGATAATACATAGATATTATAAACACAAGTAAACTGGAATATGGCAAACAGGTTATTGCACTATTCACTGCATCAGAATATATGTATACATTATGCCACAAAAAGAGAGATCTGTAAAGATACATACACAAGCTGAGGCCAGTAATTACACAGTGTCATTACTTTATGTATTCTAAATGTGTATATCCCCTCCAGCAATCTTTAGTATGATTACGACCTAATCCGTTGAATTTTGAACAGTCAGCAGTGACGAGTGGTTTTGTGCTAATCGGTCAATTTCAGACTGTTTTAACACAATGGGAGAGTCTAACTTCATTAATTAAGGGATCGGCTTGTATTGGATTTGACTACATGTTCTCTTAAATAGTTTTAACTCAATTCAGTTTCTGTATACAGAAATGTACCTGAGGTACAGGTCTGTAGTACATACAGGTGTCGACAACAACCCTTCAGTATTAGTCAGGTTGGGGAAACCTACCGATCAGCCTATAATAGGCCGAACAGGATATTATAGGCCGTTCTGCCTACTTTGCGATAGGCCGATCGGGCTATATTTGAACATTTTTCTAATTATTTCACAAACTATCAATTTCCGCACGAAATGGTTTTATATGATTATAGAGATGAATAGTTAATGGACCTCCTCAGCTTGAAAAAAATACGTTTTTTGGACAAAATGGAAATTTATATCATGTTCAGGAAAAGATGTTTCATTAAAAACACAATTTTGCATAGATTTTCCTTTTGAAAACTAACACTGAATATCTATGTCATTAATTTGCAATGCAAACTGTCAAAAAATATTACAGACTTATATTTAATTAGCAATTTCCAAACTCCTTTATTATGTGATGAAAATTCTCAAAAAGGGTTTGAATGAAAACCTTTGGACATCAAAACTTGAATGATGTTAATATCCTCATGCGGACATGCACCGCTTAAAATTTATTTGATAAATATCATAACTATAGGCCGATCGGCCTATAGCAAAATAGGCAGAACGGCCTATAATATCCCATTTGGCCTATTATAGGCCGATCGGTAGGTTTCCCCAACCTGTTAGTGAGCCACAACAGCCAGCCAACAAACTCAGCCAGCGCTGCACCTATGCTGTGCCTCATAATCGGCGGTCTTGTGCAATAAACTGAAAGACCTTGTCGAATTTATTGTAAAAGAACATGATTAAAATTAACAATATTTCAGTTCAGTGGTTAGTTAAATTGTTACTGACTCAGAAACGACAAAATCTCTTGGATACGTTTGCCCTTCAAAATGTCAACACAGAAATAGAGTAAATAACGCCGTTCTGTCATAGCATTTTCTTCCACTTCCAGCTACATTATGTAGAAAACCACACCTTACGCCCTTGCTAGCTGGTGACTTCTGGCATAAATGAAAGCGCAGTTCTTTTAGATGCTGCCCAAGCCTCAAAGCTGAAGCAGCCATTTTTGCCTTGTGCCAATTTTGAACAACCCAACGAAAACGGATTATGTATGCTAGATAAATAACAGGAACGTATTTTTTCACATCAGGGATAGAAGCTTTGATAAAAACGCGATTTAATGATGGGGCACAGCAGTCAACGTCAAATATGGTTAAACGAATGGATAAGGCATGCTGGCATGCTTTCCTTCGTATAACAATTTCTCACTTTGCAAGAAATACACAACGAGCTCTTTGCATATTTAAGCGCTGCCTACCTGTATATATTGTAAAGGAAGCGTAGTAAAGAGCCTACGAGGTTTCTTTACATCGGATCAAAACACCGGGACATTCCAATATATATATTTGTACGTAACTGAAAACAGTTACGAAAGCATAGTATGTCATCCATACATTAATATTTACAAAACACACATTGATCTTTCTATGGTGTTTGAAGTTCAACCAGAAAATGTTATGCAAAATGTTCCAGATTTTAAGCATCAAGACGTTTCCGGTAGTTTTGGAGTACTATATTGTAAACAACTATGTGAGTATGTAAAGAGGAAAAAGAACATACTGCTCTCCAGAAACTACAAAATCTCTTTTAATTGATATTATACAGTTTAATAAGTATATTAAATACAATAGAAGTATTACAAAATCAGTAGAAATTGACCATGATTAAAAGAAGATACACAGAAGGTGAATAAAGTAAAACAGGTTTAGGGAAATAGTACATTGCATAGTTTACATTGGAGTCCGATCATCTGCTAAATGCGTAAGGCAACGAACTTTGTTGTTTTACAGGATATCCGAAATGAGAGACAACGAGACAAAACAATGATGATATATTTTGTAAATTGTTCTTCACAGAAGAGCGTTTTCTTTACACTTTCAGTCAGATAGCTGAATGTCACTGTCTTTATCGCACTTGAATCTAGAAGACAAGTTCAAGTCAAGAAAGAATTCCTAACCGAGTTCTTCCTGTTTGTGTGCGTTATCTTTTCGATATTTTTTCTAGTCAGCCTGAAAACGTTTCAATATGGATAATTACACGAGAGTGAGGAAAATCGGTGAGGGTGCTTTTGGAAAAGCATTGTTAGTGAAAGCAAAAGCAACTGGAGGACAATTTGTTATCAAAGAAATCAATATTGGAAAGGTAAGTGTGTCATTTTATATCTGTCATTTCATTGAGAAATGTTTTGTTGAATTTATGTCTTATTTTCAATCATTAGCTGCTAATAAAATGTTGTCATCGATTTAGGTGCCAATGAGATAGAGCTTGGACTGCAATGAGCAATAAATAATTAATTGATTACTGAAGTCATTGCTTGGCCAACTAGTATGGCCATCTGGTCTGTTCCCTAATGTGTAACTTTGCTTTGTCAGGATGTGACAATAGATACGTCTAAGGGATTCTAGATGATCTCTACCAAAACAGAACAGATTATATCCACCAAACATGCCTCTTTGGAGTATTCACACTTTATTTGGCTGACCAGTAAACAAATATAGATGATCTGCACAACTGTACACAAATCTGGAAAACCCATGCCCATTTTCTTCAAATATTGTTTCAATTGTAATGAGTCATTTTTATAGCAAGATGTCAGAAACTGGATTGAGTTAACCATGTTGTATAGGCCGTAAATATGTAAATAAAAATATAATTTCATAATTTTTTAACCATAGCAAATGTAATGAGTCATTATTATAGAAACATGTGAGAAAGTGGATTGAGTTAACCATTTTGTAAAGGCCGTAAATATGTAAATAAAAATATAATTTCATAATTTTTTAACCATAGCAAAGTGGCAAACACTTGTTAAATCCTGCATTATTCTGCAGATATATGTCATTTCAGTCACGACATATTATCAAATGTTAGTTGGTCATATGTAGTAGATGTGTTAGGTGTGAGTGAGTGAGTGTCTTGAGTTTTACGCCACACTCAGCAATATTCCAGCTATATGGCGGCGGTCTGTAAATAATCAAGGCTGGACCAGACAATCCAGTGATCAACAGCATGAGCATCGATCTACGCAATTGGGAATCGATGACATGTGTCAACCAAGTCAGCAAGCCTGACCACCCGATCCCGTTAGTCACATCTTAAGTCATGCATGGGTTACAGAAGATCAACATTCTAACTCGGACCTTCACAGGTTGTTTGGTGTGAGAATATCACCCGCTGATCAATGTTATCAATGACACTGACTGAAAAAGGGTTCAAGCATGTCACACAAACTGTAAGAATATTGTATCCTATATTGTTAGCAAAGCTGTTTTTGTTGCTGTAACATGGTATATTTGAGTTAAGACTTTCTCAGTAAAGTACTATGTAGAGATTCTAGTGGGTTTGTTCTTGGTTTGAATCCCATCCAGGATTCAAACCAACACTTTCAGAGTGAGGCACATCGTTGTAATATCTTACTACATATATTAAGTAGTGGTTACACAGAGACAGTACTTCGGTTTGGTAGAAAGTCTCTAAGTTTAACTTCAAGAAATAGATGGGAAAAGACACAAGGTCTTTTAGCATTGTCACCCTATCACCAGTGTAGGAAAGATAGCCCGTCCCAACGTCCGAGACAGGTGAATTTTGTGGAGGACGGGTTACAAAAAATCCTGTCCGTCCTCATGTCAGGTCAGTTTTAGCAAACCAATGACATAATCATTATTATATTATAACCTTTTTGAATATTTACTGCCAAAGGATACTAGAATAATCAAACAGATAAAATTATCGCAAACGAAATCGATGAGATATGTTTGCTATAAGAACAGAGTTCTCTCCCTTAGCTTCTTGAAACGAGTTTAGTAAGGAAGTGCGTGATTGTCCGGTTGTCACAGAATCAACAATAGGAAAATGTGTTTCTTGTTTCCCCCAATTTCAAACCAAAATGGCGCGACCCTCATCGGTCGGTCTGCTGCTATGACTGAGCGAATTTACTCTTATTTTAGTCAATATTGAATGTGCAACTGGCAAGGATGCAGATTCAGACTATGACTCTGACTTCAGATCTTGATGGAGATGTTGATGACTTGTCTGAAGACTAGTTCTGTCATGTTGTAACCAGATGATTCCACTAGGAGAGATTTAACAGTCCAAGCTCTGTGTGTGCATATTAAATTATAGCTTAAAATAAAACAAACCAGTTTTAAGTCTTGAAATGGTGTTTTATTTATATTTGGAGGACCGGCTAGATTTTGGCAGGGCTGGTAAAAAAATTGACCTGCCAGTCCTGTGGACAGGCTAAATTTTCTACATCTTTACTACACTGCTATTACACTGCCCATCTGATGGTTTTCTATCCACACTGGCATAAGACAAACCTTAAGTGACATTAATGTTTAGAAAAGTTCTGTTGTAGTACCTGCAGTGCTTGTCATGAATTTTGATACTTATTCATAAAGCAAATGACCTCTAATTTCTCAATCAGGACCAGTTCTTGTAATGTTACACACACACGCAATCATATGTTCAATCTCAACTCCCTGGGGATCATAAAACTTGTGCAGTCATTAGGCGCACCAAGTTAATGTGGTTTTCCCATCCTTACGAGGTATCCATTCACAGCTGGGTGGACTGGGACATTGTACAAGTTTACTGCACGTTGCTGTAACCGCAACTAGGTGTTTGCACATGTTCATGTGGCCACCCTCTGGTCATTTACCAACAGATTCATGGGTTCTTTTATGTGCACAGGGTTGTGTACTGTACACTAGGGTTTGTGATAACACTGAAAGAGTCTGAAAGGTAAGTTACATCCGGTTACAGGTGAGCTCGAACCCAGCACCTTAAGCTTGCTTGATTATGACACTAGCCTGGCACCTGAGGCAGCTCTCCCACCGCACCCCTACTGGTTGAACAGTTTACCTGTGTTTACCTGTATGACTCGTGTGACTATGTCCTCAAGCCAATATTGTGTTCCCCTGGCATCATCTATTGTTATAGGCAGTGTCAGTGTGAAACTCAGTTCTGTCTCCCATATCCAATGACAATGGTAACTTACACCTACCTAATCAGTTTATGGATTCTTTTCCCATTGGTTTCAGATGAGCCAGAAAGAAAGAGTAGAGTCGCGGAAAGAGGTAAGAAAAAGACAAACATATATATCTAATGAATTGCTGTATTGATAATATAAGATTATTTTGGATTGCCTTGCTGCTGAATGCAATTTATGAACTGGAATATGGTAGCTTTGTATATATAAGCCCTTAAAATGAATAGAAATTGGGGATTGGGGCGAGCTAGGGCGTACTGTGTTGGGATGCAGATGTTCTTTGTTGCTGTAATGTATTGAAAATAATGACCCCATCATGTTTGTTATGTTTTGGATGTGTCTTTCCATGGCCCTCCTTGTAAGGACAACATACATTTTTAACCACTCTGTTTTGTTATGAAGTGTCCATTTTGCCCTGATCCTCCCCAAATACAGGAAACTACATTTGTAACGAACTCAAAGAGACCACTGATTTTAGTCTATTACAACCATAGTTTGTTACCAGTATTTTGGCTAAAATATACTGTAAGTGGCCATGACAAAAAGAATGTTTGTTATAAACTTGTTTACTGTATGTGTATTATTTGTCATGTCTTCCTACAGAGACTGTCATATTTTTGTGAGACACTCCCCTGATTCCAACAAAAATGACCATAAATGGTAATACAGTCGAACCCCGTTTACTCGGACCCCGTATATCCGTAAACCCCGCCTTCCGGATGATTTTTAGGTGAAACGAAACTTGCCTTCAGTAATTGTACTCGCTTAGCCGGACCCCGCGCTTCCGGACCCGCAGGGAGAAGTTTCAGACCATTCCCATAGATTTCCATTTTAACATGATCCAGTTATCTGGACGGAAAGATCTGGGCACATGTGCATGTGTACATGTATGTTTCACGTCAGTATTGTTTACAGGACGACTAAGTGTATTCATTGTTAATCTCTCGGCAGGCGTTTGCTGTGAATTGAGTACCCATTAAAACACTAGGGACTCGTGTCACTTCATTTGTGGCAGGTGTGAGAACATCACATCAGTAACAAAAACACATGCTAATTAAAGTACTGTCGGAAATGCTAGAAAAATGCTTTTTGACTTATATTTAAAATTCAGAGGTATTACAGTTACTTAAATAACAAATATCACTTCAAGAAACATCTACCTAATGTAGACCGAGGGAATAAATTTTGAGACATGCTCTAAAATATTTTTTTACTGATGAAAATACCAAAAACTTAGAAAAATAAGGGGTAGTGGGACGTTATTTGAAACAAACATTAACTGCCTGTGTTACGTCATCAGCATGCACGCTATCGACAGGTGAAATTGACACCTGAGCACACGCTCGGGCGAGGGTCATCTCAATAGATGTTTTCTGCAAAATGTTGAATATGTGCATTATAGTATACATATCAGTTATGTAAGGGATCATTTGTGTATGTGTTTGTTTTGAAATAAACATACGAATTACTGTACATTGGAAAAAATCCTATCACTTGTGTTATCTTATCGATTGATTGTAGAAATGTGCAACGTTTTAATAAATGTTTTGCATGTCAACAGTATATTTCAATGAAAAAATATGGATGTAATTCGGTCAGTTTAATCTAGTTGTGAACATTGGACAAAGATTTAACGAAGTCACTGGTGTAGCTTCTTTAGAATATATATATTTTTCTTCTCATAAAGTTTGTAGACCGCCCATCTAAGCACTCCCTTGTCAAAGTTGTCAAGGATGGTTTTATGTCCCGGTTTTGTATTTGAGACTGTCCCTGTCTTGTCTGATTTGTTTACAATATTGTAAACTTGTTGGTAAGACATGCCAACAGCTCTACACGTTCTGTAATTAACCCTTTCTAAACTAATGAAAGGTTTACCTCTGTCTTTTTTAAGCAGAAAAAAAACTATAAACCTTTGCAACAATCGACTGCAAATCGTTGGCCATAGTGGACGCTGTGATAAAGATGTGCATGCATGACGGGAAACTTATTTATCAAGACTTAACATTTATATTAATATTTCTTCAATAAAGAAAACGATAATTAAGTAAAGTAACACAAACATTCAACATTTATTTGTTTAGGAAAAACGTTAATTCATATTTTTACACCACCTGTATTATTAGCATAAATGTAAAGGCTATTTCAGATTTTCTGTTTTTGAAAAAACCTTAAGTTGCTGCTTTGGTACCAAATTCTCTCCTGTAAACTGCCCTTTAAATGCATGGGGATGTTAAATCGATTGAAATAAATTTAGGTAGACAATAGGCGAGTTGATATATTGACATAGTATATTTATCACCTTTATAAAGATATTAAGGACTAAAAAGCATTTTTCTAGTATTTCCGACAGTACTTTAGGATTAGGATTAAGCTGAGCCGCGGAATTTGATGCAGCAGTTACCACGAAGTGACGCCGACAAGGTCCCAACTGCTGAACAGTACGTTGATGAAGATACTGTCGTGGAAACTGGCCATGAGCTAACTGATAAAGAAATCATCAACAGAGTGCAGCCACCGACAGACGACCAGTCAGATGATGATGAACAACAAGCAGTTGTTACGCTAACAGTCTGTTGACCTTCTACGAATGTACTGGAGACGAACGTTCAGTGAATTTATTGATGGACTTGGTGAAGTGATTTGAAGAAATAAAACCAAGGAAGCAGACACCTATCACAGACTTTTTAAGGAAATAATGTGCTACATGTGATATGTGATATCGAGTCAAGTTTATTGGTGTGATATTGAATATGGTATTGTTATGATTATACGTGTTTGACTATTGACTTACTGATATACATACATGAATAAATTTTCAATATACATTGTCAATGCGTTTTGCTTGTTTGATCCAGTTAACCGGACGCCTCGCTATCCGGACGATATCCGAGTGTAACCAAAATGTCCGGATAAACGGGGTTCGACTGTATATGGTAATGACATGTGTTTATTTTTTAAATGTTTTAAGTGAGGGTTTTGACATGTTGTAGGTTGCAGTACTGGCTCAGCTGAAGCATCCAAACATTGTGGCCTACAGGGAGTCTTTTGAGGGTAAGCTGGAAATCTGGGATTGTGAAGTGCTTGTGTGAGTGAGTCAGTTGGGTTTTATGTCGCTTTTAGCAATATTCCTGCAATGTTACGATTTGGGACACCAGAAATGAGCTTCACACATCAAACCCGGGTCTTCGGCGCGACAAGCATGCACTTTAACCTCTGGGCTCTGTATGTCTTGATGCCATACTAATTTTTACTAAAGTCAAAATATTCTTTGTATTATGACTTGGGATTGTTCCCGCCACCTTGTATTTTTGTTGTATAAGGATGAAATGCTATCTTACTCTCTGAGTGGACTGTACAACTTGAATATAGTAACATGAACATAATGCCAGAGAAGGAATGGTTTAAGGTTTTATGACACACTCTATTTAATAGGTGACTGACGATCTTGTCATGTTTGTTGTTCCAGAGACGGGCTGCTTGTTTATCGTGATGGACTTCTGTGCAGGAGGTGTGTTCATTATCGTTTCTTCAAATATGTTTTTTTCTTTGAATAGCATTTAGAAGACACTGTTATTGCAATGGATTCAATGTTACGGTGTAGATGCTTTCTTGATAACAGTGTTAATCTAAACTGAAACGTGGCGTCCAATGCATTAATGAAGTTGTCTATCCATACAAAATCATTCCTGTTCCTCAAATATTGTTTGTTTGTGGTTCAACGCCGTGTTTTGTAAGGCTGTAACGATTCACTTGCATATTTGGTGAATCGAACCGTAGCCCTTCATGAATTCAATTCGTTATTTGTGGTCACCAGAACCGAATATTTACAATTTTTTTAAGGGAGCATGTTTTACTTGAACCCTTATGTCCTTTCCAAAGTGAGATATACAAGAATGGAACATGTACTAGCATTGCAGCAGTACAAGTCATGTTAGTTGGCCAAGGCTGCACATGTTACTGTCATCTATAACTATTACATACCAAATTTGAGTGTCATGAGATCACTGGTTATTGCTGTGACAAATCAAACCTGTCAACATGTCCGTTCCATACTGCACGTCAATCACTTAACTACAATATTGTATTCGTGAATAATTATTCGTATTCGTTATCCAATATTCATGATACGCATCATATTCGCCACATAGTGTATTCATTGCAGCCCTAGTGTTTAGCAATATTGTAGCTATATGACAGCAGTCTGTAAAGAATCAAGCCTGGACATGACATACCAATGACTGACATCATAAGCATGAATCTATGTAACTGGGATGCAATGATGTACATTGCACTGACTTTGCATCACTCAACAAATATTCCATCTATACTACCCATCAAAAGTTTAGACTCACTAGTGTAGTGTAGCCACTTACTTCAGTCAACTGTTCTAAACTAAATTTTGAAAAATATTCCATACTGTTTAAAGGTACTGTTTACACATGAACTGATATATTGTTAAACAAATTCGTAACCTTGAAAAGGTTATTGTCATGAGTTCAATAAATGATGAAAATTGGCGAATTCTTAACAAATCTTTACACCAAAACGCAGCTGTTCACATGCACGATATTTGCACATGCTTTTCAGCAATTTGATGCATGATCATCGTGCAATTCATCTGCATAACGTTTGCAGTTGGTTCCCCCAAGTTAGGGGAGAAATTCATATTCGAACCACATATATATACATAACATGTAGTGAGTGCTTTAAGTGAGTCTAAACTTTTGATGGGTAGTATATGTGGTGGTGGTCTGTAAATAATCATGTCTGGACCAGACAATCCGGTGATCAACAGCATGAGCATTGATCTATGCAACTGGGATACAATGACATGTGTCAACCAAGTCAGCAAACCTGACCACCCGATCCCGTTAGTCGCCTCTTACGACAAGCATGGGTTACTGAAGATCAATATTCTAACCCGGATCTTCACGGGTCTCATGGTTCTAGATTTAACATTATGTTGTAATGACTTTGAGGAACTGTGTGTATGAAGAATGAGGACAATGACACAGAATCTGTCGAAACGTCGCCTATACAGAATAAAGAAGTTGTCTATCCATAAAAATTGTCCTCATTCTTCATCTCCTCAACTTTCATAATACCAATCAAAGAAAACTGTGTGTATAATGCATGGAGAAGTAGTAGTGACATGTTGTGGAGGATCAAACATCAAGCTCTCATCTTCTGTCTGTTTCAGGAGACCTTTATGGACGGATCAATAATCAGAGAGGACTGTTATTTTCAGAAGACCAGGTACTGTGATTTTTGTCCAAAATGGTAACATTACCAGGAAGTCTGGGAATTAACCATGTGTTAATCGGAGTCCATCTACTCTTGTGGACTGTCTGTAATAATGTTTGAAGTTTCTTGGTATGATGGTAAGCTGGTAGCATGTTACATTTTCACTTGAATTCCAAGAATTGTACTGATTTAATTTGAAGAAAATACCACTCCGAACTTTGAGTGTATGTCTAAGAGTTGGAAAATCAGTTGTCATCTGTTTATGGAACATGTGATCTGTGATTTTGATTAGTTTGATTCCAATAGTCTTACATCATTTCAGGATTGTCACTGATAGGGGCGGTGGGGTAGCCTAATGGTTAAAGCGTTGGCTCGTCACGCCGATGACCAGGGTTCGAATCCCCACATGGGCACAATGTGTGAAGCCCATTTCTGGTGTCCTCCGCCGTGATGTTGCTGGAATATTGCTAAAAGCGGCGTAAAAACCAAACAGTCAGTCAGTCAATGAATTATCTGCATCCAAGAGGAGTTTTCGGTAGCTGTATATGCTTCATATAGCATGGCATTTGGTTTGCCTTTGTCATTGGTATCTCTGCTTTGTAATTAATTTGCTATTGTTACTTGTTTATCAAAGACAGTCGGGTTAATTGTTATTTTGGGGATGGGATGGACTGTTTGTACTTCAGATTGTGTTCATTTTCGTGGATTCATCACATTATGTAATTGTGTTGTTACCAGGTAATGAACTGGTTTGTGCAAACATGCCTGGCTATCAAACACATCCATGACAGGAAGATCCTGCACAGAGACATCAAGTCACAGGTAGGTAGGAGTGGAGGGGGATGGTCTGGGGTAATTTGGAAGGTGAGGTGGAATGAAGGTGAGGGGAGATGGGTATGGGGGATGAATGGGGAAATATGAAGGGAAGGTGTGATGGGAATGGGTGATATAGGCAAGGGTGATGGTGAGATGGTATGAGGGTGATGTAGGGAAGGTGTGAGGTTGATGTAGGGAAGTTCAGCGGTGATGTCGGGAAGATGTGATGGTGGTGTAGAGAAGGTGTGATGGTGGTGAGGGAAGTTGTGATGTAGGGAAGATGTGAGGGTGATGTAGAGAAGGGGTGATGTAAAGAAGGTGTGAGGGTGATGGGAAGATGTGAGGATGATGGGAAGTTGTAAGGGTGATGTAGGAAGATGTGGGTGATGTAGAGAAGGGGTGATGTAAAGAAGGTGTGAGGGTGATGGGAAGATGTGAGGGATGATGGGAAGGTGTGAGGATGATGGAAAGTGTGGGTGAAAGGTGTGAGGATGATGGGAAGGTGTGAGGGTGATGGGAAGGTGTGAGGGATGATGGGAAGGTGTGAGGATGATGGCAAGGTGTGAGGGTGATGGAAGATGTTAGGGTGATGGAATATGTGAGGATGATGGGAAGGTGTGAGGATGATGGGAAGGTGTGAGGGTGATGGAAGATGTTAGGGTGATGGAAGATGTGAAGGGGTTGGGAAGGTGTGAGGATGATGGGAAGGTGTGAGGGTGATGGGAAGGTGTGAGGGTGATGGGAAGGTGTGAGGATGATGGGAAGGTGTGAGGGTGATGGGAAGGTGTGAGGATGATGGGAAGGTGTGAGGGTGATGGGAAGATGTGAGGGTGATGGGAAGGTGTGAGGGTGATGGGAAGGTGTGAGGGGATGATGGGAAGGTGTGAGGGAAAGATGTAGGGTGATGTAGGGAAGGGTGAAGGATTAATTGATTTATATATGAAGGAAAGATGAAATTTTCACAAAAACTGAATAGGACTGAGAAAGTAATTCTATGCAGGAATTCCTGATAATAAGAGAGGGAGGTCAAGGAGGGCTTGATTGTGGGGATGGGAAGAGTTTTAAAGATGTTGAAGAGAGGGTGAAACTTCAGCATGTAAAGGTGGTATGGTGAAGCAGATGTTATATGATGTGTTTGTTTGCACAACAATAGTGATGACTTATCCTTTACTTATTTTAAGAAAGACTTTAATCTCATGTATACTTTTCAGAACATATTTCTGACAAGTGATGGAAGGATACAAATTGGAGACTTTGGAATTGCTAAAGTCTTGAACAGGTAACCATATTGTTTTCATTTCTTTTTATTATTAATTTCAGATTAATGCACATAATATATTTTATCCGTTTACACGTTCGTTATATCCCAGCTATTTATGGATTAGGTAATCAATGAATAGTTGTTTGGATGGAAACTGAAAGGGCCACTAAAATTCTTCACATGAACTTTAATTTTTCAATAAACCGTAAGTGTTTCTCAGATAAGGATATTATTCTAAAATAACAATGATAAAAACTATATCAACTTCTTTGAGTGGCATATTTAGAAGTTGGTGAATCAGATTAGGATAAACTTTATGGATAAACAACTTCTTTATTCGGGGGGATGCGACGTTTTGATACAGATTCTTGTTTGACAATGATACAAGAATCTATAACGAAACGTCGAATAAAGAAGTTGTTCATCCGTAAAGTTTGTTCTAAAACTATGTCAGTATATGTGATGTTTCATGTTTCCGATATCAATATTTCATATCAAGGCATCTGTGAACTTTTTCATATTCAGTGGAGTGTTTCTACAAAGGACTGATTGTGTTTCAGTACTGTAGAACTGGCTCGGACTTGTATAGGTACACCATACTACCTGTCTCCAGAGATAGTTGAGAACAAGCCCTACAACAACAAGAGGTAAGTTGGAGTGTGAATGAACGTCTTTTATAGTCAGGAATGCAAATTGAAAATGTGTCTACTCTTCAAAGGTTGGACATATGTTTTGCCCACATGCATCCTCTATTAACCAGTCTTCCATTTCTCCATGCTGGTATAATTTATACTCTGGACCCTTTTGCCATCCCAGCTTTGTTTTCCCGTGTTCTCCAGTTGTAATTACACAACACTACCAAATAGACTCACAAACCTTTACAGATAAAACCAGATTGTCTGGAATGAAAAGGACTTCTTTCCACCATCTTCGTATTCAGGAAAATATCCATTCCAGCTAAAACGCTTAAAGTACATGAAGGGCAAGCTCAGATGAGGTCTCTTGAAAACCGATCCATGCCAGTGAGATAGTGATGTCTCTGCTGAAACCATGCTGTGACCGAATGGGTCCTGGGGTTTGATTATAATAGAATGGAGATTCAATACACTGGATAATCAAGTATGGCCTATCTAACATAATAGTTAAGAAATATTGGGGTGAATCTGAGTATTGAATAGCAAATTTGGAACTTCTGTCATGATCAATTTCACAAGAATGGCTGTAATTGGTGATACGGTTTCTATTACTTACGATCAAGAGAAAATATCTCTGTAAACAAGTTTGTGACCAGATGAGTTTGTTCACCTTGTGTTTTGATGTGTTCTTGGCTAAATTTTTAGGTCAGCCTTTGGACAAATACATGTATATGTCTTCTTGTTACATGCAGTGATGTTCAAAAATGTTGAAATGGACATATGGTTCCTATTGGTATGGGGATGAGTAGCCTAATGGTTACAGTGTCCGCTTATCATGATGAAGATCTAGGTTTGATTCCTTACATGGGTACAATGTGTGAAGCCCGTTTCTGGTGTTCCTGTCGTTGATATTGCTATTATATTGCTAAAATCATACTTACTCTCTCACCCTTCCTTATGACAACATCTGAATGTTTCATACCTATTTCTAAAGGTTTTACTGATTTTTAATTTTCTCATGGGACAAATATGGTCTTATCATACTTGTCCTGTTCATTCAGCATTGGTATGCATTAGCAAGTGCATATCAATATAACTCATGAAGGTCCGGGTTAGAATTGATCTTCAGCAACCCATGCTTGTCGTAAGAGGTGACTAACAGGATCAGGTGGTCAGGCTTGCTCACTTGGTTTCACATGTGTCATTTGTCAATTGTGTAGATCGATGCTTATGATGTTGATCACTGGATTGTCTGGTCCAGACTCGATTGTTTACAGACCGCCGCCAGATAGCTGGAATATTGCTGAGTGAGGCGTTAAACAACAAACAAACAAAAGCATATCAATATACCTGAATGTGCTTTATGCAACATGTGCTTGTTTTCAGTGATATCTGGTCTTTAGGCTGTGTTCTCTATGAACTGACTACACTGAAACACGCAGTAAGTATACATTGGTCTTATTAACTGTACATGGTTGTGATATGTTCACCACCTGCTTAACCTGATTTCTCAGGTCTCACTGATGGACAGCATTCTTCAGCTTGTTAGGAGACATACCAAGAGCTTAAGAAGCTTGTTTCAAGTATCTATTATAAATGGATAAAACAGCTTTCCTTCCTCTGCTTCTCTTTGAAAATAGACTGTTTCACCTCACTTGAGGAGTAGCGCATCTTGTCAATCAACAAGGACGTATATACTATGTGGCATGTGTAGTACCGGTACATGTTTGTGCTGTTCCTTCTACTGTTGTGTCCCCTCTGTTAAAGAAGTCAATTTGTACACATAACAACATGATAGTTTTTAACAACTTTTTTTAAGTGATGGGTATAAAAAATAACAATCCATAGAAATTGTTGGCACAGGATATTCATTACTTTGTACTGTATTAACATGTTATAGACTATTTCTGACTTTTAGTTATTTTGCAATTTATTGTTCTCATTTCGAGACTTACATACTGAGCGTTCAAATCAACAGGAATTTACAGAATAACTAAAATGTAAAATAACTAACTGAATTGTAAATATATTTCAAATTGTTCCTTGTATTTGGCAATTAAACTCTTGCCTCTTGCATCATGATATTTTTGGCAAAGGAACACTTGAAACTGAGAAATCAGATTGTTCTGGCTTTTTGAAGACTTCTTTTGAATTGTGTTCAGTTAATTGTTTTACTCCTTAATCATATTATAATGATAAATTTAAATAACATGGTCCTAAAATTGAGACCAGCTTCATTTGACTCCACAGATATACAAAATTTGAATTTTGAAGAAGTAAAGAATGTGAAATTCTGTTTTTGATTGAGTTGTCTTAATCTTCTTATGATGTTATAATAATTAAAATGTTGTCAGGAACATGAAATTGATACCTTTATTATAATTACTTTTTCAGTTCGAAGCTGGCAATATGAAAAACCTAGTACTGAAGATCATCAGGTGAGTTGTATTTGGAATATCTTATCATGGTCATATTTGACTCTTGGCATTTAACATGCTTATGTGTAGTGTTTAATGTTCGTGGCACTTCAGTTTGTAGTTGCTGAAGATTTAATTCTTTCTCCGACAGAGGTTCGTACCCTCCGATTCCACCCAAGTACAGCTATGAACTGAGAGGCCTGATTGCCCAGCTGTTCAAGAGAGCTCCAAGGTAAGGCAGCAAGCATTTCACTGTTTCTTCCAGCTAAGTTATTTTCAAAGTGTTTGTCATTTTTTTTAAAGTTTTCAAATGACAGCTGACATGCAGCTATTCTTTCTCTTTGTGACAATCAGAGGCTATTCTTTGGCTAATCCGTTGTATGATCGGTTCCAACAAGTTATGTAAGTTATGTATGTAAGAAGTTTGGTGTGTATTTTTGTCAATTCATTTAATTTGATTTTATTATCTGATATTATTTTGGTCATATCTCATGAAATGTCTTTTCATGTTTTCTTTAGGGATGGTTTATATGCGAGCTTAAAGTGTTTCAATGAGATATATTTTGCAAATGCTTATTTGCAGAGACCGTCCATCAATAAACTCCATTCTCAAGAAGAATTTCATCATAACAAGAGTTAGAAATTTGTTAACAGAAGAGGTGAGAAAAGTAGTGAGCTGATGGTGGACCACAGTACCATTAATGATTCTACTGGATGATTCTTATGTATACAAAACAAATTGGAACTAGTTTTGTCAAAATCTGAGGCATGATAACTGCAAGGAATTACACTGAACTAAAAATGTCCAGCAATCATAGCATCTTGTGGGACATGATTTGTTGTGTTGATTGATGATACATATTTCATTCAATATCCCCCAAGTATGCATAATCCACTTTTGTTCAGTGAGTGTAAAGAAAAGTTTATTGTGAGGCGTATTAACTCCATATTAATAAAGATAAAGGACCATTTACCAGCTAGTTTCATGTTTGTTATCTCCCCACAGAAAATGGCAGAGGAGTTCAGCCACACCCTTTTACACGGACAGAAAATAGCTCGTGCCTTACCCCCACCACCGAGGCCTGCTTCAGGTAGGTACAATATTCTGTGACTCTCAGGCTTTCAGCTTGTACGTTCTGGCAATAGATACTTGATACTTTTATAAATAATAAGTTCTAAGAATCACTTATCATCAAAAAAATTCATTTTTATTGATATCTATGTTACTGTTTGAGGGATTTACCTGATCTTCAAAACTAGGGGTCCAGGTGGCCCCATTTTCGTAATTTTAAAGGTCCTCACAGGGAAAATGTGTTATGAGTGAGTGAGTGAGTTAATATTTAACGTCACATCGGCAATATCTCAGCCATATCGTGACGATGTTATGTAATGAAATGGATTAGTGTAGTGCACTGCAAGATATGCACTTTAAATAGAGGAACTTTGTACTTCTTGTGAAGAATTTGGTACAATGAATGCAATTGTCTGTCCCTCGTGATGTAATATTTATTGTTTCCTGTGTCCATTCTATATTGTTGTATGTACTAGACACTCATTTCTGCTTCACATGAAACCTTGTTGTTACTTTAAAATGAAGAAAAATATTGTTTCATCCTCCAGATGAGATTGATTTTTGATGCTGTTGTAACACATGTACATGCAGTTGGAACACTGTTGTTTCAGCTGGACCTAAAAGGGCTGCTCCATCACCTAGACCTGGCTCTGCAGCAGGGCGGTACAACCCAGCTGCTGTGTATGGAGTTCCTCTAGCACGGAAGTCCAAGGAAGTCCGGTACATATCTCTATAACATTGTTCGTGCTTTAGGAGGATGAATACTAATGTTCCTTGGTTGGAATTATTCCTGAGTTTTCATGTACAGCACTGTATTACCAGTATAGTATTCTGGTAAACACTTCTCTATTGCAATATTTTTCTCTTATTGCCATATTATTTATATTATTTTTTCCTGTGTATTAGTTATTAAAAAGTTTTTGTTTTTATGTGTATTTTAAACCATAGAAACCCATTCGCAAAAGGTGTTTCTGTTGGAAATTGATTGATGGAACAATGCACAAGTAATTTCCCCTCCAGTGTTATCTCCCCTGTATCCATGACTACAAAATGGCAGCAACTGACCATGCTGAGAAGTGTTTACTTTAGTATGTACCAATGTCAAGAACTGCTAACACCTTTGCTCCCAATATATTGCAATGCACATACCGTAGCAATACAGATAGATACCTGTATTGCACTATAGTGCAGTACATTTGTTGGCCTGTTCACAGTTCTAAAGGTGTGTACCCCAACTTCTTCAAAATCCTAAATCTGCTTTGAGTCATTGGCTGTCAATAGCTTGTTTTTAACATTTGAATTGAATTGTATCAGTTTGATGGTCCAAATCGTGTTAGAAGTAGACAGTATGGATGAGTAATTTGAAGTTTTCAGAACTTTGATGATGTTTCAGTCATCTGATAACCAGTGAATGTAAGCTTTCAATCTTCTTCAACATAAAAGGTTTTACTTAAACCTAAATATGAGTGTGACCTCTGACATGTTTTATGTTTTCCAGACCTGACCTGAAGAAGAAGAATGCCAGTGGAGGAAAGATCATCCCAGGACAGCAGGTGAGCTTTCAGTCACACACTCAGAATACAACAAAGCTACTGTTATGTAATGGAACCTCTTGGTAAGTCTGTGACTAGATTCAACTGACTGTAGCTATTTGATCAACTAACTAAGGGGGTTGCAATATTGATAACTGTCCCCTGTAGACCACAATGAGAATGCTGTGTCAGTGTTGTTCGAGTCACTGCTGTTGTTTGTCACCGTTGCAGGGTTTTACGCGATGCATAAATGTGTGTCCAGTACTCACAAATGTAGAGGAAATGACGCAGAAAAAAAAATCCAGAGGGATGCACAATATTCTTCTGTGTACCCTCAGCACCAGAGAAGATCCGGGTTAGAATGAATCTTCAGTAACCCATGCTTGTTGTAAGAGGCGACTAACGGGATCGGGTGGTCAGGCTCGCTGGCTTGGTTGACACATGTCATCGGTTCCCAATTGTGCAGATTGATGGTCATGCTGTTGATCACTGGATTGTCTGGTCCAGAGTCGATTATTTACAGACTGCCGCTATATAGGTGGAATATTGCTGAGTGCGACGTAAAACTAAACTCACTCACTGTAGCCAAAACACATCTATGACTTTGCTAAGTGTTTGGTTGTTTCTTTCAGAGCAGGAATGCACATCATTTCATCCATCAGTCCATATGATCAATGATTCATTCCAGGCTATAAAGAAATTATTAAAACATACAGTTCTCCACAGGACCCTCATATTGCAAAGACTTAACTCTGATAGTTAGGGGTGCCTGGCACCCCAATGTTATGTGAGCCGAGGTAAAACCCTGCTGCTGTTGCGTCACTGTTGTGTATCGGTTGTGCATCACTGTTGTATATCGGTTGTGCATCACTGTTGTGTATTGGTTGTGCACCACTGTTGTGTATCGGTTGTGCGTCACTGTTGTGTATCGGTTGTGCATCACTGTTGTGTATCGGTTGTGCATCACTGTTGTGTATCGGTTGTGCATCACTGTTGTGTATCGGTTGTGCATCACTGTTGTGTATCGGTTGTGCATCACTGTTGTGTATCGGTTGTGCGTCACTGCTGTGTATCGGTTGTGCATCACTGTTGTGTATCGGTTGTGTGTCACTGTTGTGTATCTGTTGTGCATCACTGTTGTTATATCTGTTGTCGTCACTGTTATGTGTATCGGTTGTGCATCACTGTTGTGTATTGGTTGTGCCACTCACTGTTATTATATCGGTTGTGCATCACAGTTATTATCGGTTGTGCATCACTGTTGTGTATTATCGGTTGTCGTCACTGTTATATCGGTTGTGCGCCACTGTTGTGTATCGGTTGTCGCGTCCACTGTTGTGTATCGGTTGTGCATCACTGTTGTGTATCGGTTGTTCGTCACTCACTGTTGTGTATCAGTTGTGTCACTGTTGCATCGGGTTGTGCATCACTGCTGTGTATCGGTTATGCATCACTGCTGTGTATCAGTTATGCATCACTGTTGTGTATCGGTTGTGCATCACTGTTGTGTATCGGTTGTGCATCACTGTTGTGTATCGGTTGTGCATCACTGTTGTGTATCGGTTGTGCATCACTGTTGTGTATCGGTTGTGCATCACTGCTGTGTATCGGTTGTGCATCACTGTTGTGTATCGGTTGTGCATCACTGTTGTGTATCGGTTGTGCGTCACTGTTGTGTATCGGTTGTTCATCACTGTTGTGTATCGGTTGTGCATCACTGTTGTGTATCGCTGTTGTGCATCACTGTTGTGTATCGGTTGTGCGTCACTGCTGTGTATCGGTTGTGCGTCACTGCTGTCAGTGTTCTTATATGTTCCTATTGTTGTGTGAATTTTGTTTCACTGTTTCACTGCTGTTACGCATCACTGTTGTTTGTCTTGTTGTAGGACTGGGAGAAGAGGAGACAGGACTTGCTTCAGAAGGAGAATAAGAGACGAGAAGACATGAAGAAAAGGGTATGCTTTCTTGCCCTGTTGTCATGCTGACAGCTTGATTTCAAATCCACATTCTTCAAAATATTAGCTGCTTTTCACTCATATATATTTTGTTGCAACTTGTGTGGATTCAGCCCTTGAAGACACAGGATAGAATTGATCTTTAGTAAACTATTCTTGTGTAAGAGACGACTAACAGGATCGAGTGGTCAGGCTCACTTTTTTGACATGTCATCGTATCCCAATTGCACAGATCGATGCTCATGCTGTTGATCACTGGTTTGTCTGGTCCAGACTCAATTATTTACAGATCACCACCATACAGCTGGAATATTGCAGAGTGAGGCGTAAAACTAAACTCCATTTGTCTGACTTCCAGTTACCTTGAAGTGTGATTTCGATCAATATAACCAGTGCACAAGTGACCATTCATTCTCAGGAGGTTTCCAGGATGGAATAGGTCAATTGTACTGTTTGCTTTCCAACAGAATAGTGAAACTCACCAAACTCAATCACCCACTGATAGACTAGTTCCTCTGTTTCAGGAGCAGGAGATGTATGCCAGACAACACAAGGACCTTGTAGAGAGACAGAAGGTAAGCCTGCCAGCAGGTCTCACACCATTATTGACCATATGCTTTGTGTGAAACTGTAGCAGTGTCTGATATTCAGAGTGGCCTCCCTTAGGTGTACCAGAACCTAATGTTAATTAAGGGCCTATTCGATTATGCTAAACCAGTTTTGGTGTCAGGAAACCCATGCACTCGATTATGTCGAAACCTAAAACTGGGTTCTGAAACTTCAAAACCATCTCCGAGGCAGGTTTCAAGAGTTTTGGTTTCAGCGTTCTCACAACAAACATGGCGGAAACGAAAGCCAAGTTTAGCTGATCTTGGTGGCAAAATAGAGCAGCAGTTTTGGAACCAAAATAATGATAAAAATCAACTGAGAACTAGGAAAATATTATTTAAAACCCCAGTCTATTGAACATGACTATTTAATGTAACTTGTATATATAATTACTTGTAACAGTATAATTACATATGCTAAATATTTACCTCCAAAAGTATCTCATCTCTTTATTATTTGTTAATTCACTGATAAAATGAAAAACATATGCTGTATCTGAGACATTTTTGGGTATCCATTTTGAAACCGGATGGTGAAACTATCCACTCGTTTATAAAACTAGAAACTAGTTTCACTTTGAAACCATGTATCCTAAACTAGACACGCGTTGATAACAGGTGAAACCAGTTTCAAAACCAAAACCAGTTTCGCAATAATCAAACTGGCCCTAAGTGAAATGCCGGGTTTGCCTCGGGTTATGTTTCTAGTTACCGTATATCAGCAAACGCGTTCTTTACAAATAGGTTTCACTAAAGTGTTACATGGGTCAGACTTCCATTACTTCAGGCTTTCCTCCCATCAAGTTCTCACACGCTTTGTTTCAACTGAAATGTTGTTTACAAACAGTGTAATTAAGGATGGAGAGGAATGGAATTGTATCTTTATGAAGTTTGACAAATATTCCATGATGGATTGATTTAGGTCAGAAATCTTTTCAAAGTGTCTGGTAAAGTTAGATTGGCAGACTTGGCTAGTATCTTTATAAATAACAACTTCTTGATGACATTGTAAGAATCTATACTGAAATGTTCCAAATGCTATACACCAGGGACTATGTATTCAGCAGCGTCCATGATGTCCCTATTCTTGTTAACGTGGTATCTCATGAACTGCTGTACCCAATGTCTTCAAATTTGATGACAGCCTACATTGGTGTATTACGCAGACACCAGTTGATTTTGGTGACCTTGACCTTATTTTCAAGGTCACCATGACACTTTGACCACTTTTCAGACTGTTGTTAATGTGATAACTCATAAAACATAGCACCCAATATCTTCAGTCATGTTGACAGCCTACACTGGGTGATTATGCAGACACCAGTCATTTCAGGCATCTTGTGTATGACCTAAAAATAAAAAGTAGTAAACATGTTATAAATATCTCATTCTTCTTTAGCGGCGGGGGACATTGCCATATTAGTGGCAAACACTTATTTGAATGTTTTGTTGTTTTGTCAAAATTCAACTATCCTGAGTCTACCTAGTTGCTCTGTAGGTGTGTGATTGTAGTGAGTGAGTGAGTGAATTTAGTTTTACGCCGCTTTTAGCAATATTCCAGCAATATCACGGCGAGGGGGCTTCAGAAATGGGCTTCACACATTGTACCCATGTTGGGAATCGAACTCTGGTCTTCAGTGTGGCGAGCGAATGCTTTAACCTCTAGGCTACCCCACTGCCCCTTTGTGCGATTATTGTTGTTATATCACAGTATTGTTGTATGTAGGATGTTGTGGTGTAGAGACTGACAGATGGCGATGTTTCAGATGGCTCGTATGAACAAGGCACGAGAGGAGGGATGGAAGGGCCTCATTGACTCAGCAGGGTCTGAGGACAACAATCCCCCACAAGCTGTAAGTCACTTTGTACATACATTTTAGGGGTGGGTGGGGTGTCATTCGCATTGTACATGCTTCTCCATATAAAGCATCATCACCCCCTAGCCATACGTCATATGCGGTCCTTAGAACTCAGCACTTAAGGTAACACTCAGGTATTACTTGAGAGATTCTGAGTTAATGTATCCTAATTGTGTTGAATGCACAACTCTCATTGAGTTGCATGTGTCAGGACAGTCGCTTGGCATGGTATCCTGATTGTGTTGGGAGATGCGCCACTTCCACTAAGAGTTGGATGTGTCAGGTTTGTGCAGTGATATCATGGTAACCTGATAGTGTTGCTTATTCTTTCTGTTTTGATTCTTTCCTGACTGGTCTGATCGACAGTTACACTGTTTATTGTTTAACAAAACAACTTTCACTCCAGGAACATGTTCCAAAACCTGTGGTATAACTGTGGCGATGCTAAGTGTGGTGTAATATCTGGTGTTTCCCTGGATCCATGATGCTAGCATACTGTAGAAGCTAACAGTTCCTTCCTATGTTTTTCAGGCTCCTAAACCTGCTCCCAGACCTCTGCCAAGGGTAAGGCCTGTTGGTTTACTTAAACAATTTTTTCAAGTTACTGATAGTGTAAGTTTGTAGTTAATCTAAGTTAATCTAAGATAAACTTGTGTTACTTTGATCAACCAAGTTACTGGTATATTAGCTCAGATTGACTGGTGGAGACCCAACCCTAGCAGACTGATATAGACCTCTGTAGCCTGTTGACTTGTGTTGACTGCCACAGACTGAATGTAGACTGATTAGACTAGAATAGACTGCCACAGACTTAATGTAGACTGATTAGACTAGAGTAGACTGCCACAGACTTAATGTAGACTGATTAGACTAGAGTAGACTGCCACAGACTTAATGTAGACTGATTAGACTAGAGTAGACTGCCACAGACTTAATGTAGACTGATTAGACTAGAGTAGACTGCCACAGACTTAATGTAGACTGATTAGACTAGAGTAGACTGCCACAGACTTAATGTAGACTGATTAGACTAGAGTAGACTGCCACAGACTTAATGTAGACTGATTAGACTAGAGTAGACTGCCACAGACTTAATGTAGACTGATTAGATTAGAGTAGACTGCCACAGACTTAATGTAGACTGATTAGACTAGAGTAGACTGCCACAGACTAAATGTAGACTGATTAGATTAGAGTAGACTGCCACACACTTAATGTAGACTGATTAGACTAGAGTAGACTGCCACAGACTTAATGTAGACTGATTAGAGTAGACTGCCACAGACTTAATGTAGACTGATTAGACTAGAGTAGACTGCCACAGACTTAATGTAGACTGATGAGACTAGAGTAGACTGCCACAGACTGGTATAGACTGATTAGACTAGAGTAGACTGCCACAGACTTAATGTAGACTGATTAGATTAGAGTAGACTGCCACAGACTTAATGTAAACTGATTAGACTAGAGTAGACTGCCACAGACTTAATGTAGACTGATTAGATTAGAGTAGACTGCCACAGACTTAATGTAGACTGATTAGACTAGAGTAGACTGCCACAGACTTAATGTAGACTGATTAGACTAGAGTAGACTGCCACACACTTAATGTAGACTGATTAGATTAGAGTAGACTGCCACAGACTTAATGTAGACTGATGAGACTAGAGTAGACTGCCACAGACTTAATGTAGACTGATTAGTCTAGAGTAGACTGCCACAGACTTAATGTAGACTGATTAGACTAGAGTAGACTGCCACAGACTTAATGTAGACTGATTAGATTAGAGTAGACTGCCACAGACTTAATGTAGACTGATTAGATTAGAGTAGACTGCCACAGACTTAATGTAGACTGATGAGACTAGAGTAGACTGCCACAGACTTAATGTAGACTGATTAGACTAGAGTAGACTGCCACAGACTGGTATAGACTGATTAGACTAGAGTAGACTGCCACAGACTTAATGTAGACTGATTAGATTAGAGTAGACTGCCACAGACTTAATGTAGACTGATTAGACTAGAGTAGACTGCCACAGACTTAATGTAGACTGATTAGACTAGAGTAGACTGCCACAGACTTAATGTAGACTGATTAGATTAGAGTAGACTGCCACAGACTTAATGTAGACTGATTAGACTAGAGTAGACTGCCACAGACTTAATGTAGACTGATTAGAGTAGACTGCCACAGACTTAATGTAGACTGATTAGATTAGAGTAGACTGCCACAGACTTAATGTAGACTGATTAGACTAGAGTAGACTGCCACAGACTTAATGTAGACTGATTAGATTAGAGTAGACTGCCACAGACTTAATGTAGACTGATTAGATTAGAGTAGACTGCCACAGACTGGTATAGACTGATTAGACTAGAGTAGACTGCCACAGACTTAATGTAGACTGATTAGACTAGAGTAGACTGCCACAGACTTAATGTAGACTGATTAGATTAGAGAGAGACTGCCATAGACTTAATGTAGACTGATTAGACTAGAGTAGACTGCCACAGACTTAATGTAGACTGATTAGATTAGAGTAGACTGCCACAGACTTAATGTAGACTGATTAGACTAGAGTAGACTGCCACACACTTAATGTAGACTGATTAGACTAGAGTAGACTGCCACAGACTTAATGTAGACTGATTAGATTAGAGTAGACTGCCACAGACTTAATGTAGACTGATTAGATTAGAGTAGACTGCCACAGACTGGTATAGACTGATTAGACTAGAGTAGACTGCCACAGACTTAATGTAGACTGATTAGACTAGAGTAGACTGCCACACACTTAATGTAGACTGATTAGACTAGAGTAGACTGCCACAGACTTAATGTAGACTGATTAGATTAGAGTAGACTGCCACAGACTTAATGTAGACTGATTAGACTAGAGTAGACTGCCACAGACTTAATGTAGACTGATTAGACTAGAGTAGACTGCCACACACTTAATGTAGACTGATTAGACTAGAGTAGACTGCCACAGACTTAATGTAGACTGATTAGATTAGAGTAGACTGCCACAGACTTAATGTAGACTGATTAGACTAGAGTAGACTGCCACAGACTTAATGTAGACTGATTAGACTAGAGTAGACTGCCACAGACTTAATGTAGACTGAATAGACTAGAGTAGACCGCCACAGACTTAATGTAGACTGATTAGATTAGAGTAGACTGCCACAGACTTAATGTAGACTGATTAGACTAGAGTAGACTGCCACAGACTTAATGTAGACTGATTAGACTAGAGTAGACTGCCACAGACTTAATGTAGACTGATTAGACTAGAGTAGACTGCCACAGACTTAATGTAGACTGATTAGATTAGAGTAGACTGCCACAGACTTAATGTAGACTGATTAGACTAGAGTAGACTGCCACAGACTTAATGTAGACTGATTAGACTAGAGTAGACTGCCACAGACTTAATGTAGACTGATTAGATTAGAGTAGACTGCCACAGACTTAATGTAGACTGATGAGACTAGAGTAGACTACCACAGACTTAATGTAGACTGATTAGACTAGAGTAGACTGCCACAGACTTAATGTAGACTGATTAGATTAGAGTAGACTGCCACAGACTTAATGTAGACTGATTAGACTAGAGTAGACTGCCACAGACTTAATGTAGACTGATTAGACTAGAGTAGACTGCCACAGACTTAATGTAGACTGATTAGACTAGAGTAGACTGCCTCAGACTTAATGTAGACTGATTAGACTAGAGTAACATATGTACATATACATATGGTCGACTAGACACCTAGACCGCTCAGCCATTGCGGCTTCCACAAAAATGGAAGTCGGACAACTGGTAGACTAGACTGCGGACTTTGGGTACCCCTCTGGTAAGTGTGCTGGCAATTAGGTGCCTGATTCTGAGGGTGTAGGTTCGAATCACGGATGGGACTCAACCCAACAAAAAAAGTACTAGAATCTGTACTTTACAAAGAAAGTGTAATCCCAAATATAACACGTTACATTTGACCACTTTCTAAATGGCATTGTGTATTTTATAGACTAAAGTAGACTGCCACAGAAGACTGATGTAGATTAACTTTTGTAGACTGGAGTTATGTTTTGTAAAGGGATGGAGGATGGTGCATGTAGCTGATGACTGACAATTTTTAGTTTAAGAGCGATGAATGATATGATCTTGAATGAAATAAAGACACTATCATGCCTTTTATCATTGCCCTGCACCAGCCTGCTGTGATTCGCCCTGACGACAACAAGGTTCCCCTGAAGGATCGAGGCAACTACGACCAGTACAATGCCTACCTCAACAGGATCCAGGATGACAGAAATGCCCGAGTCCATGACGCCCCACCTGTTCCAGCACCGAGACAGAATCCAGGTGTGTGCTCTCTGGGAGAAAGATGGAATAGTGAAACATTGATATTATTTCAACCCTCTGACATAGACTGTTGTTTCAAGGAAAATTTGGGTATCAGTATTTATGGAAGTATTTGTACAAGTATCCATCTAGACCTGCCTAGAGGTCTATTTTCAGCCCTGCATCTGCAGCAAAATAGTAAAAATTGCTCAGTTGGAAATACAACTTTCTCGTTTCATGTTATGTAGTAAGGACTAATGTTTCGCTTTGTAGAAGTGACTTGCATTTCGCTGAACAATTTCAGCAAAATAATGGGTTTTTAAAAAATATTCTTGTACGTTGTTTGAAATCCTCCTTTGATACTGGGACAATCCAAGAAGTATGATTTATGGTACCAAAATAACAACCGTCCAATTTTCTTATTTCACATCTTTGGGGCACTCCTATCCTCTTTGGTTCAGATTTGTACATGACTCTCTCCTGATTCTCCCCACATCACCATCTTAAATATGGTTGCAAGTTTTACAGTGGTCTAGGGTGTAACAATAGCGTATGCAGATGTGCTGCCCTAACCCAAGCCATTTGTCTCTCATTATTTTACCTGTAACTTAAGGTTTAATGTAATGAAACTGGCCTGCTGTCATGTAGCTGAAATACTGTTCTCAACCCAACTCGCCATTGAACCCTACTCATTCCTGTGCTTGCTTTACATGTCTCCCCCTGCTGGTGTTAGTATCATGATGACTGTTATAGAGAACTACATGGCTGCACCAAGACCTGGTCAGCAGTATGGTCAGAACAAGGCCGATCGAGACTACATCAACAGGGCGTTACAGCGAGGCCCCAATGTCGTCAACAATCACGTAAAACAGGCAGAGGAAAACAGGTACTTGAATTCACGTGTTTATCCAGAAATTGCATTCTACAGGAACAGTGCTTGTGTCAGTGTTTCAATCAATGTGTTTGTCTGTGGGGATTCTGGCTGGTGGTAGTTGATCAGGTGATGAAGTTTGGTGACTTGGTTGACTGCATGTATCGCACCCAATGTCGTGGGATGTCACTCATACTATCAGTCACTGGTTCGACTGGTCTAAACTAGATCATTTACAGGCCCATTGTCATATGTGTGAAATAATGCTGTTGAATTAGGAAATTATCATGTTTAAACCTGCTGAAAATATTTTCAAACCAGAAATTGCAATAAGCATTTGCTTGTAAAGTATATACCGAGCGAGTTGTGACATACATTGAATGTGTGGTTTCAGACGAGCTGCAGCACAGGCCTCTGAGAGAGCAAGACTTGCTGAGGAGTTTGTTAACAGGAAGAGAGAAGCAGCTTTAAACAAACGGAGGGGACATGCACAGTTGTATGGGGTGCGTTTTCCTCATGGAAATATGTAGCTGTCCAGCTGGTTTAGGACTCTCTCTTGTTTTATGAAATGATTGATTTCTCAAGTGACAGGATCAGTTTGTCAGGCTCGCTGACTTGGTTGACAACATGTCATCATATCCCAATTACATTGATTGATGCTCATGGTGTTGATCACTGGATTGTCTGGTCCAGAGTTGATTATTTACAAACCACCACCATATAGCTGGAATATTGCTGAGTGCGACATTAAGCAAACCAAATCTGTACTTTATTGTATGGCTCAGTCCACTCTAATGACAACGAAATAATGTTTATGACATTTTAGTAGGAATGTTTCATATATCTCAATATTGGTATCCTAAGATTCCTGGAGCATTAAGATGTCAGTGTATAAGAGTTCATTTTCACCTGTATGTTTATATATAATAAGTATCTACTTCTTCACCTCCAGTACACACCTCCTGCTACACCTATCTCCCGACCTGGCTCTGCAAGTAAGTCTCATAGACATGGTTTGATAATTAATGTCAGTCAGAGAATACATTTGTAATGCCACATTAGTATTTCCTTATCACCCTCTTTACCTGATGAAGGGGGCGGATGGGTAGTCTAGTAGTTAAAGCGTTCGCTTGTCTCGCCAAAGACCCGGGTTCGATTCCCCACATGGGCACAATGTGTGAAAGCCATTTCTGGTGTCCTCCGCTGTGATATTGCTGGAATATTGCTAAAAGCGGCGCAAAACCATACTCACTCTTTACCTGATGAGGTGGGTCTTCAGCAACCCATGCTTGCCACAAAAGGCGACTTTGCTTGTCGTAAGAGGCGACTAACGGGATCAGGTTGTCAGGCTCGCTGGCTTGGTTGACACATGTCATCTTGTCCCGATTGCAAAGATCGATGCTCATGCTATTGATCACTGGATTGTCTTGTCCAGGCTCGATTATTACAGACCGCCACTATATAGCTGGAATATTGCTGAGTGCGGCATGAAACAACAAAGAAACAAACCTGATAAGGTAATGATGAAGTTGGCAACTGAAGAATTGTTAGTGTTTTTAATGAGACATAGGTAAAAAGCAGATTGAAGTTGTTGACATATGAAGTTGAGGTATATATTTTTTACCAGTCTCATGACACTTCAACACAGTTGGACTGCCTCCGTGGTGTAGTGGTTAGAACATCCACCCGGAGAGCGGAAGGTCGTGGGTTCGATCCCCGACCGCGTCATACCAAAAGACGTTAAAATATAGTACTTGTTGGTCCCTGCCTGGCGCTCGGCATTAATGGGTACAACAAGGACTGGTCGGCTTGGACTCAGTATAATGTGTCTGAGTGGGGTATTCATGCTTCACTGCGGCATGGTATCTCAGTGGGCTAGCACTATAAAACCAGCTTAAGTCTGGGCTAGTACAAGCAGCCGCACATACACATACATACGGATGCACGTCGTCATATGAGCGAAATATTCTCAAGCACGACGTAAAACCCAATTTCACCTCACCTCACCTCAACACAGTTGACTGTGACTGTTTCTGTTGCCAGAGGGAGCCAGGCCAGCTGGAGGGGCAGCCAATGCCAGGAACAGGGAAGAACAGGTGAGTGATGATTGGCTGAAATAAGGTAACAGGCATGGCTGGCCCAATGATCTCAGTTCACACAGTTTATTTACTAGGTTATGCCCCTTAGTCATACCAGGATCCGTTATGGGTTAATTCCCAGATTGTAGGTATTTTGATCTTTTATTGACACCTTACATGTTTGTGTCAGCTCAGTCAAAGTGGTGAGCTCTCATGAGTTGCATATATACTCTGATGCTACTGATATACTGATATCACTGAAAAGCTGATATCTTCTGATAAAGCGTAGGATGACACCTTAAGGTCATGACTTACTCAAGGACTGGCAAACATTCTTAAGCCACAGACAAGGTGTAGTTTGTGGATGATGTACAAGTATGTATTGAGAATGACACGACACTTTCAGGAGTACCTGGAGAAGCTGAGACAGATCCGGGAACAGAACATGAGGGAACGGCGAAAGTTACAAGGAAAAGAAGAAAGGGTCTGTTTGTTTCTGGCTCTATGTTTCTGTGTTTTTTTTGCCATTGCTTCTCCCTGTATCTGATCACATCTTCAGAAATTTAGTGAGAACATTGCTTAGTACAGTGTTAAACAAAACGAAGTTGTGTCTCTGTTCGCGATCTGTCTATGTGTCATTGCTTCTCTGCCACTGTGATCTCTGTGTTTACTCTTGTGTTTACATCTTTGTACCGCAAGCATCCTCGTGCTTTAACTATAATAGTTCAGGGCGAAAGTGTGCTTTATTACACTATACATGGTGGTAGAGTGAACTGTATTTCTTTTCTAAGATGCCAAAGTTAATATTTTTTAAGGATAATTACGATTAATTTAAGGCAGAAAACAAACGACGGTGTCGGTGACCTAAATTAAGAATCCTCGCACAGGGATAACTGACGAGCTGTTCTATTGACTCGTCTGCCCCCCTACGTTAAGGCGAACGTTGCCAGAAAAACAAATGATAAACAGTTTGATGACGGTTTACATTCGGGTTAAATATCTTCTATAAATTATTTGAATTACATCTGTGCTCATAGTAAACAATATGGGGCAATATGAACATCACATTTCTACTACCAACAAAAGTTTAGATCAGCAGATCCAGATGAAGCTGACTAGTCAAGTGACATTCCACGATTTCATTGTGGGAATGTAAACATTGCGAACGTTACCGTGTCGCTGTAAAATTGTGAGTCGAACTGAGACATTTTATCCGTAGGAAAACATAAATGTAATGTTTCCACTAGTGATGTTAGCTGAGTGAAGCAACTGCAAACCAAGAAACGGGATGCAACGGAGTAGTTTACTGTAGGAGGCTGTATGAAGCGATGACAACTGACATGCATCGTAACGTCGGTTATATTGTGATGTAACGCAAAAGTGTTCGATTACGAGGGGGCAGACTAGCATGGCGCAGTGACGCCAATACATTGTGACGTAATGCAAAAAGTGCACATTATCATCTGATAAAGCACTGTCAGCACCTTTGATCTTTCACCAAAGCATCTTAGAATTGTCACTCTGTCACGGCTGCTCTGTGGTCCCTGTGTCTATGTTCTATATATTTGTCTTTCTGTTTCTCTGTTTGTTTCTCTGCTTCTGTCTGCCATTGTTCCCTTGTCTGTGTTGCTTGGCTGCTCTCTTCCCCTGTCTCTATGTTCTATATATTTGTCTGTCTGTCTGTCTGTCTGTCTGTCTGTCTGTCTGGTTTGTGTCAACCTGTCATAGGCTGTAATTAAAGTGTTTTGCACTGTGGTAGATTGTGATATAACGCATCTGTTTCATTGCCAGTTACTATTTCTGTTTTGAGTAGTGCATACTGCCTGCATAGCTATATGTTTTACATATTAGTTGTTAATGGTTTCTCAATAAGGGACAGTAGATAGTAGGGGTGTCACATTATGCCTACCACATGCTTCACTGATTGAATTATCAGCACCTAATGTGTGTTTGTGAGTAAACATACTGAGTAGTGATATAATATGAATTGATGTGTATAGCCATACATAAATGGTGACATTTTTGGATTGTATTCCCCATACTTCATTTGACAGAATCTAACACAAAGGTTGTTGCTGTCAAAGACTTTACTGATTACGGTTCATTTTCTTAAATAAGTGGTTGTGACAGTTTTATGAAATCAGATCTAGAATTATTTCTCATCTATGTTGATGACTCCCCTACATGTCTACAGGTAATGTGATGTATCATGCACATGCTGTAAATCAGCCCCTTGAGTATGAAATCAGCCATTGATAGTTTACTTTAAAGAAAGTTCTGGATATTATTACAATGATGACTATGTTGAACGTGTATGAGACAGGATCCTAGTCCAGTGTAAGGGCTTAGTGGGGTCCTCCTGGTTAGGTCACCAGCATCCATTGCTGTCGTAAGAGGTGACCAAATACATTGGGTGGTCACAGTGAGTTAATTCATATCCTGTGATCGTACCTGCACGGATTGTTGTTCACAGTGTCAGTCAGTGGATTGTCTGGTCCAGATTTGATAATTTGAGGCTGCCATCATATAGCTGGAATATTTTTGAGTGTGGGTTTAAACATTTTGGAAATCACGCTGAATGAAGTTGTCTGCTTCTGACTTTAGCCACCAAGTGGTCAAAGTGAACAGGAGGCCAGAAAAAAGAAGATGGAGGCTTTAAGGGTATGTTCTATACTTGGCAGGTTTGAGGGTGGGGTGAGATTATGATCTGAATTTATTCCAGAAATGGGCTTCAGACATTGTACCCATGTAGGGAATCAAACCTGGTCTTTGGTGTGACATGCAAATGCTTTAACTGCTAGGCTTCTTCTTCTCCTTTTGAACATAATAAATGCATACTGTGACATATCAAAGAATATTCCCCCAACAACTTACTAAAATCATTGCCCCAAAAATAGTGTTAAAGGAGCATCTTATGGTCAACCAACACTCACTGTGCATGGTATAACTGCTGTCGCATGTTTCATGTTGCATGTTAGTGGCATATGTAATTGCGTCATTAGATCAAAGAACATCTGTATCTGTTATCATCAGTTACTTAATCATCATGCATTTATGACCGTAAGTATAAAGAAATATTGTTAACTGTATACTATTGAAAAAATGTATTGCCAGACTTACAAATGAAAACTTATTTTCAAATGAACTTTTGATGCCAATGTCCTTCACATGGTCTAGGATTTCTCAAAAGCATGTTGACACACTACCCGTGAAGATATGGGTCTTCAGTAACCCATGCTTGTCGTAAGAGCCGACTAATGGGATCGGGTGGTCAGACTCGCTGACTTGGTTGACACATGTCATTGTATCCCAGTTGTGTAGAATGATGCTCATGATGTTGATCACTGGATTTTCTGGTCCTGACTAGATTATATACAGGCCGCCTCCATATACCTGGAATATACTGAATGCAACCAACATTGTTGCCACACAAGTTATACCCTCATAACTCCATGGTCGAATTGCTCCACAACAGCTGATGATGGTGATGTGGATGAGGTGGTCGCTATACTCCAGTCTTGTGAATTGTTCTCAGCATCAATCACCTGATTGTCTGGTTCAGACAGATTATTAACTGGGAGCTATGATATAAGTGGAATATTGCTGAGTGTGGTATTAAACAACAAACAATCATTGTTTCATAAATCTATTATTATTATTAAACAACAAACAATCATTGTTTCACTTGCTTCAAGAACCCTGCTATTTGCAATATTGTGATTGTGTTGTGTTGTGTACAGAAGCAGGCTGACGAGTGGAGCCAGAAGAAGAAGGAAGAGTTGGACAAGGAGAAGCAGCAGATCATGAAGAGAATGAAGGAGAGAGAGGATTATGTGAGGGCTGAGTGTGGCGTTAAATGACAAACAAATAAACCTTTCTTTTTGTTTCATCAGTGAAAGGAGTAATTGCTTCACTGAACTTCAAAGAGAATAGGGGTGGGGTAGCCTATCTTATTGGGTTCAACACATGGGTACAATTTGTGAAGCCCATTTCTGTTACCCATATGTTTGGAATATTGCTCCTCAGTCAGTCAGTCAGTCAAAGAGAATATCTTATTTAACAAATAGGCAGTTACACATATTTTATTGTCCTGATTAAAATTTGTTTGTCGTTAAAGTACCAAATTAATGAGTCATGAATTTGTGAATGAAACACTTGTTTCCATTTGTCTTCACTTTGGAACTGTGGACACAAACGAATGCCAATAAACAAAGGTCAATGTGGACTGATATTTGGCTGACAATGCTCATGGTAGTATGGTGGAGACTTGAAGAGTAGATCATATGCATCCGGATTCCCTTCTTGTCAAAGTTATCCACGAGGTCTTACAACAAATAGGTGTGTCACTGGTATGTAAAAGAATGTGATATTGTTGGTCACATCATTCCTCACAGACAGAATCTGAAGGTCTAATAGTTTATATGAAGCTTTTTCGGTTTCATGTAGATTTTAAAATGAGATTCTTGAGAGGCAGTTAGAAGATGGTGAATATATAAGATGAGCATATGGATGACAACTTCTTGTTTATTATATAACACAATAAACAAGAAGTTGCCATCCATATACTCGTCTTATATATTAAAAATGTTTTCTTTCATTGCCTTTTTTCATTTGTTAGATGAAACAAAGAGAAGAGCAGAGAGCTAGAGAAAACAGGTGAGTTGTAACAGATGTGAGTAAAGTCTGACATGTAATGGCGAGGTACAACAGTTTAGGGTTAAATATGACTGGTAATAGGGGTTTGATAGTGATATAGCAGGTGAGGGTGAAGTATAACATGTAATGGTGAGGTACAACAGTTTAGGGTTAAATATGACTGGTATTAGGGGTTTGATAGTGATATAGCAGGTGAGGGTGAAGTATAAGAGGTGAGTTGTAACAGATGAGAGTAAAGTCTAAAATGTAATGGTGAGGTACGACAGTTTAGGGTTAAATATGACTGGTATTAGGGGTTTGATAGTGATATAGCAGGTGAGGGTGAAGTATAAGAGGTGAGTTGTAACAGATGAGAGTAAAGTCTAAAATGTAATGGTGAGGTACGACAGTTTAGGGTTAAATATGACTGGTAATAGTGGTTTGATAGTGATATAGCAGGTGAGGGTGAAGTATAAGAGGTGAGTTGTAACAGATGAGAGTAAAGTCTAAAATGTAATGGTGAGGTACGACAGTTTAGGGTTAAATATGACTGGTAATAGCGGTTTGATAGTGATATAGCAGGTGAGGGTGAAGTATAAGAGGTGAGTTGTAACAGATGAGAGTAAAGTCTAAAATGTAATGGTGAGGTACGACAGTTTAGGGTTCAATATGACTGGTAATAGGGGTTTGATAGTGATATAGCAGGTGAGGGTGAAGTATAAGAGGTGAGTTGTAACAGATGAGAGTAAAGTCTAACATGTAATGGTGAGGTACAACAGTTTAGGGTTAAATATGACTGGTAATAGCGGTTTGATAGTCATATAGCAGGTGAGGGTGAAGTATAAGAGGTGAGTTGTAACAGATGAGAGTAAAGTCTAAAATGTAATGGTGAGGTACAACAGTTTAGGGTTAAATATGACTGGTAATAGGGGTTTGATAGTGATATAGCAGGTGAGGGTGAAGTATAAGAAGTGAGGTGAGATGTAACAGATGAAGTGAGATATAGTTGAAGGTGAGATGTAATAGCTGAAGGTAGGGTAGGTTTTAATGATAATATAAAAGGGGAGGGTTAGATATAGCAGATGAGGAAGAAGTAACAGAGCGTAGATTATGACACACTGGCTTAACGTAAGATATTTCAAATAAGGGTAAGGTAGAAAGGGTGAGGTATAACTGGTAAGGTTGTTGGATCAGTCAAGTGTGTGAACCCTTAGCTACTAGTTGGCCAAACTGGCTTTATTCTTACATGGAATATTCGTTGATATCCAGTCAATATCTTCCAGACCATTCACACCCAAAGTGAACTTGAAGCCTGTGGCAGCAGTTCCAATCACGGGGGCTCTACATGCAATAGGGGCGGTCGAAGAGAAGGAGTCCCCAGAAAGACCTAAGTGAGTAGCACACAGTTCTTACAAATACGTCCCTCGAACACTTGATTGCCTTTTATCTTGAAACTTGTTTCTGATCCACAGGTTTAACTTTAACACATTTTTTATATATCCATCATCAATTCCAGGAGCGCTAAGCAGCAGAAAAAGGATGAAATACTGAAGCGATTAAATGATAAGGTGAGTCCTGACAGTACCTTGTTGACTCAAAGATAGAGTCCAACTATAGACATGTACTGTTGTCTGTCACTAGGAAGATGTCTGTTGATGAAACATTGATGGATAATGGTGAAATTTGCTCTTCCACCATATATTCGATAATAAAAGTGTTTATTAGAACCGCCAGAAGCTCTTGGATCACAGGCTATGTACACATGCAACAGATGTCAGGATGATGTATCAATGGAATTGTTGCCTCATTCAGTTTGCAGTTAGTCAATTTAGTCATGTAAGTAAAACTCGGTATGGAAAGAACTCGTTTATATATCTTTGGCAGAAAAGATGGAGATTTCCAATTTTATCTAATTTAACATCATTCACAGACACTAAAGATCTATGTGGTAGGTTCAAGTGTTTATTTTTACAGGATACATACTTACCACATCCTTTGTTGTAGGGTCAAGGTCGGAGTCAGTGGGAAAACCCTTCTACCCCCTGACCTTGCAATACAGGAAGAGGATGATGGGTCAGAAAGTGCAAGGTCGAAATGGGGTGAAGCTGAGAAAGGTCAACTGGCCAATCTACCCCTCGAACAAACTGCTTCTCAGATGGAAGGTAATGTGCACCCATCTCCCCAGAATACCAGTATTGTTTGTTTTGTTAAATCTACTAAAGACAGACATTAGATAGTGATCTTTGGTGGTGATTTTGTGTTTTCCCTTCAATGGGTGGTTCAGTTTATCGTTTCAAAGTTTTATGCACCGAGTTGTAATCCTTTGTTGTGCAAGAATCAGCTTATCATAAGTTTAAGTCCAGGATTAGCCATGAGTATAATCTTTGCTTTGCTAGCTCCCAAACCAAGAATTTCTACTGGCTAGTATAGAAGTCTAATTTTCTCCTGTCCTGTTTATGATGACCATTCTGGTTTGCTTGGGAGAGTATAATCATGTGTATATCAGTTGTCCAATCAGAGAACATTTCACAAATTCATTCAGTCTTCAAAAACATTTCTGAAATTATTCCAACAATTATGCGAAGGCAGTTATTTTTTTAAGTCCTTCTCTGCAAAAGTGTGTTTCAAATATTTGAGCACTAACTTCATTGTGTTTAACTAAAATGGTTATTGTAGTGACTGAGATGCAGTTCTACTTGTGTACAACATATTCTAGGTATTTCAAGTCACCATGATGTGAAAAAGTTAGGGTATAAACTGGGCTTTGAAATATGCCTGTAGACACGTCTACCAAGGAAAGATACTGTCAGTATAATTCTTGTGGGTACAACCTATGAAGATCCGGGTTAGAATTAGTCATCAGTAGCCCATGGTTGTCATAAGAGGCATCAAACGGGATCGGGTGGTCAGGCTCACTGACTTGGTTGACACATGTCATTGTATCCCAGTTGCGTAGATCGATGCTCATGCTGTTGATCACTGGATTTGATTATTTACAGACCGCCGCCACATGGCTGCAATATTGCTGTATGTGGCGTTAAACAACATACAAACAGAATCTTGTTGGTATCATTGAAGTGGAAACATCAACATTCTTTATCCTTCCCTGACATATCTGTTCAAAGTGCTGACAGACACAAATCAGTCTTTGTCTTCTATAGTCTGTTCGGCTCAAAAGCGGACCGATGAATTGCAATCTAACTCGAAAACTAATAAACATAACATACTCAATGAAACGCTGATCATAATCAAAACATCATACCCACTCTGTGATTTTTTTGCAGAATTTTTGTCCTAAAATTAAAAAAGTTGTTTAACAAACTATCATTAAGATATTGACACAGTTCACTGTTTGTTACGAGGGAGGAGTGCAGAGAAAGGGACAGCCAGGTGTTCGAGAAGCACGTTCACAGACAAAGTTATTTATTCATTAACCTGTGCTGTGCTGTCTCCATCCGCTCTCGAACACCTGGCTGTCCCTTTCTCTGCACTCCTTCCTCGTAACAAATAGTGAACTGTGTCAATATTTTAATGATAGTTTGTTAAACAAGTTTATTATTTTTAGGACAAAAATTCTGCAAAAACCTCACAGAGTGGGTATGATGTTTTGATTATGATCAGCATTTCACTGAGTATTTTATGTTTATTAGTTTTCGAGTTAGATTGCAATTCATCGGTCCGCTTTTGAGCCAAACGGACTATACAAGTCCATAACTTGTGTTATGTCTGTACATGGTTTCTGATTAACTAAGAGTGCTGTATTGGATAATCATTTGGATGCTGTGAACCACTGAGTCACAGTTACACAATGCTGATCATTTGGTTGTATCTTGTGTGGCTTCAGCTACATCTGCAGGAGACCAGGTTGTGAAGTCAGAAGTGACCTCCCCTCCACAAGTGACGCCACGGAACCAGTGGGGAAAGCCAAGCAATACATTGGTCGGTGCTCTACAGAAGATGCCAATCTGTGATGCCACCATGACCATTGACAGTAACCGATCAGGTCTGTGTTCTTTTTCTGCTGTCCTTCATCTGTCAGTGTGTCAATATAGAGAGAATTTTAAGATGAACATGAGAAAAGTAAAAATTGTGAAATATTGTTTGTTGGACATGATAAATATTCTGTTAGTGATGTGAGAAGATAACAGAATTTGTTTGAGTGGCATTTTAGAAGTTGAGACGTACAATATATAACAAGTTTTATGGATAACAACTTCTTTATTTTCGTGAGTGCGACGTTTCGATACAGATTCTTGTACCGTTGTCAAGCAAGAGTGATACATGAAGTGTAGGAGCTGCATATATATACTGTATATAACAATGAAACAACATAATAGACAAAGGAAACAACATAATTGCCATGATTGGCTAAGCAGTAAGCTGATGAAGCCAGTAAGTACATAAAGGATAGTGAATGGAAGCCAGAGATGTAGTTACAATGAGATGTTTGTACAATGGATGCGATGTTTATACAATAGACTGGGCTTGGTGGAGGAGTGGATCATAAGCAGATGGAATGAAGTATCCTTGGTCACGGTTGATGGTAGGCTTGTGGCGTTTGATGTGAATGGCTTCTGTGAGCTTGCGTTTAGTGAAGTCCGCTTTGGTTGTTGGCGAGAATGGTGATGTCGGACCACTCTATTTGATGATTGGGGTTGGCTTTGATGTGGTCAGAGATAGCTGATTTGGTGTCGAATTAGCAACAGAGGTGCGATGTTCTTTGACTTCGGGTGTTGATGGGTCGGGATGTTTCACCTATGTAGCATTGTCCACAATCACAGTCTATTTTGTAAATAACACATTTCGGGTTGTTGTTGTTGACGGTGGGTTGTTTTCTTCCGTTGGCATGGAGGAGGTTGTTGAGGCTGGAGGACGCTGAGAAGGTAGTGTCTATTCCTGCCTGTTGTTTCAGGAGTCGGCTGATTTGGTGTGATGGTTTACCAATGTAGGGAATGGATATCTTGATGGGGGCTGATTCTGGTTTAGATCTTTTGGCAGGAGGTGAAAGCGTTGCTTCGATGGTTCTGTTGACTATTTCAGGTGGGTAGTGGTTATGCGTTCTACAAAGACTTTCCTCAGGTGTTCAATTTCTTCCTGTAGGTTTGTTGAGCAGATGTTTTTGGCTCTTCTGGTCAATGTAGAGATGACGCCGGTCTTGACTTTAGGGGGGTGGTTGGAGTTGTAGTGGATGTATTGATCCGTACAAAGCCAACCCCAATCATCAAATAGAGTGGTCCGACATCACCATTCTCGCCAACAACCAAACGGACTTCACTAAACGCAAGCTCACAGAAGCCATTCACATCAAACGCCACAAGCCTACCATCAACCGTGACCAAGGATACTTCATTCCATCTGCTTATGATCCACTCCTCCACCAAGCCCAGTCTATTGTATAAACATCGCCATCCATTGTACAAACATCTCATTGTAACTACATCTCTGGCTTCCATTCACTATCCTTTATGTACTTACTGGCTTCATCAGCTTACTGCTTAGCCAATCATGGCAATTATGTTGTTTCCTTTGTCTATTATGTTGTTTCATTGTTATATACAGTATATATATGCAGCTCCTACACTTCATGTATCACTCTTGCTTGACAACGGTACAAGAATCTGTATCGAAACGTCGCACTCACGAAAATAAAGAAGTTGTTATCCATAAAACTTGTTATATATTATAACAGAATTTGTCCCGCCACTCCTGTGTGAGTTAATAAAGTATTTGTCTATCTCTGACAGAATTCTTACGCCCCCTGCCTGTCCAAATGTGGCACAATTTTTGATAATTGATAATCTCTGTTGTGTAACTGAAGAATTAAATGTATAAGATTTGTATTGATACTCTTGTCTAAATTGCTAAAACATCTTATGACACCTCCATCGATAGGAGGGTGGTAGCCTAATGGTTAAAGTGTCCGCTTGTCACACTTAAGACCCAGGTTTGATTCTCCACATGGGTACGATGTGTGAAGTCCATTTCTAGTTTCCCAGGCCGTTATATTGCTGGAACATGCTTAAAGCGGTGTAAAACCATACTCACTCACGTTTTTGATCAATAGGATGACAGATTCCTGGCTTTGTGTTGTTAACTGACACAATCAGATTAATTGACCTTGAAACAAAGCACTCTTATTGTCATACTGTAGGTGGCAGCACCAGCTCTCAGGGTTCAGAGTCCCCAGCGCCACCCTCCCCGTCTCCTGTAGTACCCCCCATTGCATCAGGGGTGGGTGCCACCATAACCATCTCCAAGACTCCAATACAGAAAGGAACCATTACAATTAAAGCTGCTGATGATGCTGCCATGGCCAAAGCTGCCAAAGGTGTAGATGCTGATACTGCTGACAAAACTTGTAAGTGGATGTCTGTGCCTCAGCGTGTTTGGAGATCTGTAGATTTTTGTTATCACTGTGATTATGAGGGTGTGTTTTGCGATCTGCAGATCTTCATGATTATGTGGCTCAGAAAGCGTGTTTGGAGATCTGTAGATTTTTGTTATCAGGGTGGTTATGAAGGTGTGTTTTGTGATCTACAGATCTTCATGACTGATGTGGTGATGAAGTGTGTTTTGCAGTCTGCAGATCTTCAAGAGTGATGTAGTGATGGAAGTCTATTTTGGGATCTGTAGATTTTTGTTTTCAGTGGTTATGAAAGTGTGTTTTGTGATCTGCAGATCTTCATGACTGATGTGTTGAAAGTGTGTTTTGCAATCTGCAGATCTTCAAGAGTGATGTGATGAAAGTGTGTTTTGCAGTCTGCAGATCTTCAAGAGTGATGTGGTGATGAAAGTCTTTTTTGCGATCTGCAGATCTTCAAGAGTGATGTGATGAAAGTGTGTTTTGCAGTCTGCAGATCTTCAAGAGTGATGTGGTGATGAAAGTCTTTTTTGCGATCTGCAGATCTTCAAGAGTGATGTGATGAAAGTGTGTTTTGCAGTCTGCAGATCTTCATGATTGATGAGATGAGAGTGTGTTTTGAGATCTGCAGAACGTTAAGAGCGATGTGGTTTTTCTAAGTGTGTTTTGAGATCTGCAGATCTGCAAGAGTGATGTTGTTATGAAAGTGTGTTTACCATTTGCGTATCTACATGATCACTGATGGTTGAGAATTTCTTTTTATTTTGTATTTATCATCTG